GGAGCTCGTCCCTGACCCGTCCCGTCTGCGAGCGGGATGGGAAGGGTGCGGGAGGCAGGGCAGGGAGCGGGCACGCTGCTGGACAGACACGCCGAGGGCTGTCCCAGCGGCACGAACCCTTGCGCGGCGGCTGTCCCTGTGTTGCAGCACGGCCGAGCAGCTCCTGCCAGGGGCTGAGTTCCACCGCTATGTGAAGGGCCAACGCAGCGTTGTGCGCTCCCCGCTCCGCTACGCTGTCCCTGAGGAGTTGGCTGAGCACGTTGACTTCGGTACGTCCTACACAGGGGAAGCTGAGGCTGCCCGGAGCTCTCACAGCCCGGGTGGGAGGTTAGGCACTGAGCAGCCAAGACCGGCCGTCTTGGTGTCCTAGAGGACAGTGTGGCAGGCCTTCCAGCCATGGCCCTGGCTGCCCCTAGGCACCCCCCCCCCAGGGAGCTCTGTGCGTAGGGTGTAGATGCCCCCTCCCTGGAAACATTCAAGGTCGGGTTGGACGGGGCTCTGGGCAACCTGACCTAGTTGAAGATGTCCCTGCTCATTGCAGGGGGGTTGATCTAGACGACCGTGAAAGGTCCCTTCCAACCCAAACTGTTGTATGATGTGGACAGGCAGGATCCAAAGTGAGTGTTTCTTGCCGGTGCTCTTGGGCCCGGATGCTCAGAGCAGGGAGCTCTGTCTGTGGATGTGCTGCTGCTTCTGAGGTGGAAAAACCTCCCTTCTGTGTGGGCTCCCACGGCCATTCCACGAGGAGAGCAGAGGGGTGCCAAGCTGCGGTAGTGGCCTGGCAGTGGGGAGACTGAGCTGTGCGGCCTGGGAATATCTGTGAGGACTGGCGAGGAAGCCGAGGGAATGCTTCCCTGCCTTCCGTGCAGTGCGTGGGGCAGGTGCTGCAGGGGATGGGCTTCCCTGAGCCGTGCTGCAGGCCAGCCCTCTCAGCCATGCAGTCTGAGCGAGGATGGTGAAGGGGGAGCCAAGGAGCCGTAATACTGTTCTCCCGGAGCTCTGGGCCCTGACAGCCCCTTCTTCTCCTGCTTGCCTGCACACCAGTGGGTGGCCTGCACCGGTTCCCTGCGGAGAGAAAGGTGGTCAGCAGAGCCTGGGCCAAGAAGGAAATGGAGTCAAAGCAGCACAATGGAGCGAGAGCGGTGTTCCACCTGGGCGTGACGCCCTCCGTCATTCGTAAGAGATACAACATGACAGGAGGAGACGTCGGGCTACTGCCAAACAACAGCCAGGCCTGCGCCCAGGTAACAGGTAGAGCCGGTCCAGGTCAGAGGCCCATAGGCCATGGGAATTCCACACATCGGTGCTGCTCTGGTGGTCCCAGGACAGCTGTGGGGATTCCTCAGCGGCTGGCGGGAGCTCCTGGTGGGCTAGCATTTCACAGACCTGTGCTGGGCCAACTTGCTAGGTCAGGAGGAAAAAACTGGCCTTTGTTTTTTTTCAAGAGAAAATGAGAAAAAAACTTGTCTGCTCCTTGTCCCCCCAGTTCTTGGAACAGTATTTCCACCAGGCTGACGTGGCTGAGTTTATGCAGCTCTTTGGCAGCAGCTTTGCCCACCGCTCTCAGGTTGACCGAGTGATTGGGCGCCAGGGCAAGGGCAAGGCAGGCCTGGAGGCCAGTCTGGACGTGGAATACATCATGAGCACGGGTGCCAACATCTCCACGTGGGTCTTCAGCAATGCAGGTACTCATCCCCCTCCAGAGTTGCCCTGTGACTGCTTCCATGCATCCCGCTTGCTGTCGCACCAACACACCTGCCTGCTGTTCAGGGAAACACTTGCTGTCTGCATAAAAACGGCTGTGCTGAGTCTGTCTGGTGTCTGTCAGAGGGGGAGCGCCCGGAGGGGCGCACACGAACGGCGTGCTGGCTGTGGTACATCCCCAAAATGCTTTCCCAGCTACTGCGGGCACATACCTTGTGGGCTTCCAGTGTTGGAGCTGATGCTGGTTTCTAATAGCTCGTAGGGAAGTCATCTTCCGTCGATTTGTGTAGTTGGTTTTGAACCTGTCTGAACTTTCAGGATCTGGAGTATCCTGTAGCAGGGACTTCCACGCCTCAACTACACAATGTAAAGCAGTCACCCCACTCTGCTGCCTCTCCGTGGAGGGAGAGCACCAGCAACTGTGTCTTGCTATTTTTTTCCCCCACTTCTTTGGGGCTGAAGCTGATCTCTTGCCCATGAATCTACCAGTCCAGTGGATAAAGGAGAGCAAGGCAGTTTGAGAAAACAAGCTTGCAAAACAGCTTGCACAAACATGGCTCTTGGTGCTGTGTGACAAAGTGTCACCTGTCCTAGATCAGAAACTGGCTGAGCAGGAGACAGAGTGCCCTTAGGACTGCCAGCTCTATCTTCCTAATGGTAAAGGCAGGCACAGCTTCACATTAAATTCCACCTCCTTCGTGCAGTTGGCGATGTGCAGAGGGTGCGGGCAGTTACGTGAGCAACTGAGAGTGAGAAGGGGTGAGTGGGGCTCTGCTCTCCCCGCCTCATGGAGAGGGATGAGGAGCAGGAAGGGACCTTGGCAGATGGGAGGTGGAATGTACATCAAATTGCGCTGGGACCCACTGTTGCGGGTAGGGGGGCCAAGGCTTTGCTGAGTCTCAGGGGGGCTGCCTGGGTGCCAAGGGTGGCTGCAGCCCTGTGACATGCTCAGAGGAGGAGTGGATGAGCATCGACCCCCCTGCTCTGGGGTTCAGGGCGACCTTTTCACCAACCCGCTGGCAGAGCTGGAGCCTGGTGCCGTCCACCGCGGGAACCCCCGCGGTCGGCCGGGCTGCCAGTGGGAGCTCACGGCAAGCTCCGCGCCGGCTGTGCTGGGGATCTGCTCTCTGTAGATGGGGCAGGAGCTGGAGGACCTTCAGGTCCTGGTGCTAGTGGTGCTGTTGAGGCATGGTCCCCCTGCGCTGTCTGCCGCTTTCCCTCGAGCCTGGTGTCTAAGAGGAGCTGAGCCTGCCCCCGCTCTGTCTCTGCAGGGAGGCACGAGAGCCAGGAGCCCTTCCTGGCCTGGCTGCTGCTGCTCAGCAACATGTCGTCGCTGCCTTGGGTGCACTCCGTGAGCTACGGGGATGACGAGGACAGCCTGTCACTAGCCTACATGGAGCGTGTAAATGTGGAGTTCATGAAGGCGGCCGCCCGGGGCTTGACCATCCTGTTTGCCTCAGGTGTGTGCCGGTGCCGGCACGGCTGCGCCCAAGGGTCCCAGGACACCAAATGGGGACGCTTTGCCTCTGGGTAGCCCAGATTCCCTGCCTGGGAGCCCCAGCCTGGGAGGTGGAGGGAGCCCTTCCCCTGGGTCGCTTCCCGGGGTCGCTGGGTGGACGAGGGGCAGCTCGGATGCTGCTGGATTACCCCGTCCGTCTGCCGGCAGGGGATGACGGTGCTGGGTGCAGGAGGATGCCCGGTGGGAACCACACTTTCCGGCCTAGCTTCCCAGCCTCCAGGTAGGTGCAGGACCTGGGTCCCGTGGGGACGCGAGGCTCTGCAAGGAGCTGGCTGCAGCAGCTTGCCCGCGGCTGGGGTGGGCTGAAAGCTGCTGGTGGCACTTGGAGCCCCTTCCCGTGGTGGGCAGCTTGCCTCGGGCTAGTTTGGAGCCCCTATGGGGGGGGGGGAACTCCTGAGGGTCAGCCCCACCAGCGTGCAGCTTCTCGGGAGGGGGGGGCTGGTGTGTGGGGTGCCGCTGAGGCTCCAGGCAGCCGTGTGCCCATCTGTCCCCCCCCCCCCCCCCCAGTCCCTACGTCACCACCGTGGGTGGAACGTCCTTCAAGAACCCCTTCCTGGTGACCGCAGAGGTGACGGACTACATTAGCGGGGGGGGCTTCAGCAACGTCTTCCCCATGCCCGATTACCAGGTAAGGAGGCGCCTGCTCTGCCGGGTCCGGGGGGCTGTGTGGCACTTGGTGGGGGTGACGATGGGCCGTGGTGGGCACAGGGCGGCCCTGGGGCTGGGGGGGAAGGAGGGACAGAGTTGGGCAGAGGCTAAGAGTCCTGCTCCTGACCCGGCGTTCTCCCCAGGCTGCCGCAGTCAAGCGTTTCTTGCGTTCGGCCTCGAAGCTGCCCCCCAGCTCCTACTACAACAGCAGCGGCCGTGCCTACCCTGACCTGTCCGCCCTCTCTGACAACTACTGGGTGGTGACAAACCGCATCCCGCTGCCCTGGGTGTCGGGGACGTCGGTAAGGGGGACAGCCCGGTGCCGGGGGGTGTGTGGGGGGGGGGCTGCGTGGCCGGGTGCTGAGGCACTGGTGTCTCTGGCCAGGCGTCCACGCCCGTGGTGGGGGGCATGGTGGCACTCATTAACGACCGGCGGCTGCAGCGGGGGCTCGCGCCCCTGGGCTTCCTCAACCCCGCGCTCTACCAGCTGCAGGAGCAGGGGCACGACGCTGCGCTCTACGACGTGAGCTGGGCAGGGGGCCGGGGCGGCCGCGATGGGTGGGCGCCGGTGTGTGCTGGGGAGGGGGGGGGAGGCCGGGATGTGGGGCAGCCGAGACCGTGGGCATCCTGGGGGGGGGGGTGTGGGGTTGTGGGGGGTGCGTGCTTCTCCATGGCTGTGTGGGGTGGGGACCCCTCACGCTGCTGGGGGTGTTGGGGAGGAGGGGTCCCTGTGTCCTAAGGGGGATCCATTGCTGCCGGGGGAGGAGAGGGGGGGTCGGCTTTTTCCCGGGGGGGTGACCCGGGGGTCCCTGCCCCGCTGCGGGGTATGGGGGGATGCCCTGGGTCCCGCCCCTGCTGAGAGCTGTCCCCCCGCAGGTGACGCAGGGCTGCCACCTCTCCTGCCTGGACGGCACCGTGCAGGGACAGGGCTTCTGCGCCGGGCCCGCGTGGGACCCCGTCACGGGCTGGGGGACCCCCAACTTCCCGCGGCTGCTGCGGGCGCTGCTGCCGCCGTGACGGGGGCGGGGCGAGGGAGCTGTCAATAAAGCCGCGAGGCCCCGCCCCCTCCCCGCCTCCGCCTGTGCCGCGCCGCGGGGCCGGGGAGGGGGGGCGGGGCCGGCGCGCCCTGCGCAGGCGCGGGGCAGGCGGCGCGCGGTGCGGCCATGAGCGGCAGCGCCGAGGCCGAGCCCCCGCCCGCGGCCCCCGCCGCCCCGGCGCCGCCCGCCGCCGCCGACAGCAAAGCCAGCCCGGCCGCCGTCGGCAGCGCCGTGCCCGGGGCACCGGGGGCGGGGGGCGGCGCGGCGCGGGGAGCCGAGGGCGGCGCGGCTGGTGGGAGGGGGCCCGGTGAGAGCGGCGGGCGGGAGCCCTGGGGAACGGGGGCGGGGGGGGGGGTGAGGCCCGGGAGCGTGCCCATAGCTCGGCCGGGGCGGGGGGGGGGGGGCGCGGGGGTCCGGGGATCGGCCGGGGGGTGCGGGGGGGGGGGCCGCCGCGGGGGTCCGGGGATCGTCCTGGGTGTGCGGGGGCATCCGGGGTGGGGGGGGGGGGCACCGCGGGGGTCCAGAGGCTCGTCCTGGGGGTGCGGGGGCATCCGGGGCCCGACCGGGGTTGGGGGGGGCACCGCGGGGGTCCTGGGGCTCGTCCTGGGGGGGGGGGGGGCGGCACCGCGGGGGTCCAGGGGCTCGTCCTGGGGGTGCAGGGGCATCCGGGGTGGGGGGTGTCACCTCGGGGGTCCAGGAGCTCGTCCTGGGGGTGCGGGGGCATCCGGGGCCCGACCGGGGTGGGGGGGGGGCACCTCGGGGGTCCAGGAGCTCGTCCTGGGCGTGCGGGGGCATCCGGGGCCCGACCGGGGGGGGGGGCACCACGGGGGTCCAGGGGCTCGTCCTGGGGGTGCGGGGGGACTCGTCGAGGGCCGGTCCGGAGGGTTCGCGGGGGGGGGGGCAGCCCCGTGGTCCTGGGTGACTGTGGGGGTCCAGGGGGGGGTTGCTATGGGGTCCTGGGGGGCCGCCCCGGGGTCCTAGGTGGCTGCGGGGGTCCAAGGGGGGGCCTCCCCGGGGTCCAGCGTCCCGCTGAGCCGCCCCGTGCCCTTCAGTGCCCGTCTCGGCGGCGGTGGCCGCAGCTCCCCCCGAGGGGGCCATGTCCAACGGGGTCTACGTGCCACCCAGCGCGGCCAACGGGGACGTGAAGCCGGTGGTCTCCACGACGCCGCTGGTGGACTTCCTCATGCAGCTGGAGGACTACACGCCGACGGTACGCGGGGCGCGCTGGGGCGGCCGCGCGGGCGGCCGCGGGGAGGCCGGGTTCCTCCAGCTTCTCTCCTGTACAGATCCCAGATGCCGTCACGGGCTATTACCTCAACAGAGCGGGATTCGAGGCCTCGGACCCACGCATGTAAGTGGCAGCAGTGTGGCCTCAAGGACCCTGAACGCCCCGGCAGAAATCCCGTAGTGCCAGTGCTGTCTGAAACCATCCCTTCTCTTTCTCTGCTGCGTAGCATTCGGTTGATCTCTCTGGCCGCACAGAAGTTTATTTCTGACATTGCCAATGATGCGCTGCAGCACTGCAAGATGAAGGGAACAGCCTCGGGCAGCTCCCGCAATAAGAGCAAGGTGAGAGAAGGACGGCGTGGCTGCTCGGATGAGGGGAAATGCCTTCTCTGGGGCTGTGGCAAGCTCAACTTGCTGGGGCTGAATGCGGGGACGCGGGTTGTAGAGAGTCTAAAGCTGTCGTGCTCCTGAAGGGTCAAGGCGCTTGCTAATAAGCTAGGGCTCTGCTGGTGGGAAAGGGATGCTGGCAAGAAAATGAGGTGATGCTTGGGGAAGAATAAACAGGGAGCGAGCGTGTAGTGGTAGTTTCTGGGAATTCTCCCAGTCATCATCTGTTTCTGGTTTGGGGGCCTCGTGAGGGTGATGTAATTTATCTTTGTAACGTTGAGTAATGCTCAGTGTCTTTCTGTCTGTTGAGCAGCTGAGGGCACAGAGCAAACGCAACGTGCAGTACTTAAGGCCTGGTTAATGCCCCAGGCACGGGTCTGCTGCGGCTCTTGGGAGTTGTGCACCTACAGCTCACCACAGCTCGTAGGGGAAAAAAATCCTAAATCCGCAAAGTTTCGAGGCATGCCTGGCAGCTCGGGTTGCCCTTGCCGTGACTGACACTACTCCTTGTCCCTTCAGGATAAGAAGTACACGCTGACCATGGAAGACCTGACACCAGCACTTGCAGAATACGGCATCAATGTGAAAAAGCCACATTACTTCACATAAAGACTTGAGGGATTGTCACTGGGAATTTTTTTTAGGGTTGCTTCTGTGCCATTAAACCGCTGGGTAGTTTTTTTTTTGTGGAAAGGCATCTTGTCTCCTGCCCGTGTGCTAATGCCCTGCCTACAAGTAACGGCGCACAAGCTGGCGTGCGAGGGCCTCTGCTCTCACTACACCAACAGACCCTGGTCCCGTGTCTTTGAAAGGCCAGTGCAGAGAGGGGCTGGGGGGGTGAGGGGCTTGCAAGTGGTAGATTCGAGTTGCACCTTCTGCCGTTCCCCGGAGGGCTTAGCCCGAAGCTGAAGGGAAGTGGGTGTAGTAGGGCTGCCCGACACTCATCTGCGTTTCGTCCTCCCAAGCACCCCTCTTGCCTCTCGGGAGGAACGCTGGGGGGTCTGCGCCAACAGCACTGCGGCCGGAGCCGGGGCCCTTCTCTCAGGAGAGGAGGGGGCTGTTAGCCCACCGGCTCCCCTCACTCCTGGCACCGGAGGAGGTTTGGTACAGGCACAGATCGAGCCTAGGACTCTGCAGACTGGGGGGCAGCCCCTGCCTCAGTCCTGGCCCCCCCTTCTGCGTACAGCGCCCTGTGCACATACGCGCCCCTCCACCAGCAGCCGGTTCTCGTAACAAATGTTTTATTTCAGATGCTGGCGGCTTTTCCACGTGGCCTGGATGGAAACGATAAAGTGAAGCGCGAAGCTGGGGTGGTGCTGGGCACAACAGGCAAGCTTCACCCCACTGTCTTTAAGTAGGGAAGAGCACCAGGGCTGGACTTTGCCTAACGTGAGACCCTCAGGTGGGTGAGCTGCTCGGGGCCTGGGGCCGAGGAGGATGGGGCAGCTCCGCAGCCCCGTCCCAGCCTCCCAGGGAGCAGAGCCCACCCCTGCCCGGTGTCGGGGGCCAGGCCTCCTGCTCAGTCTCTGCCCGTAGCTGCCAGGGAGGATGATGGAGGTGCTGCCGTAGACTTGGTGCTACAGCGGCTGAAGCCTGCAGAGCAGCTCCAGCGAAGGCAGCGTTGTCTGTACCGTGTGTCCGTGGCTGGCTCAGGGTGAGGGGGCATTCCCTGCTCCCCCTCGGCTCTGGGGTTAAAGAAGGCACTTGGGGGGTGGCGGGGAGGGAAGCATGGCAGCGCCGGGTGGCTGGGAGGCACCTCCCTCTCTACTTCTCCTGCATCTTCTCCAGGATGGGCACGATCATGTCGAACTTGGGGCGCTTGGCTGGGTCCTCGTTCATGCAGATCTTCATCAGCTTGCAGATGTGCGGGGATATGCCGGGGGGGATGGTTGGACGTAGCCCCTCCAGTGCCACCTGGGAGCAGGGCAGGATCAGAGATCTGGACCCAGCCCTGCATCAGCCAGGCAGAGCCCGGACCTCAGAGGATGGGTGGGCTCTACTCGGTGGGGCTTTGCCTCCCCTCCCTGGCCGACCGGGTCTGGACCGGTGTGTTTTGCCCAGCCCCCCTCACCTTCATGCCAATCTCCATGTTGGACAAGTCTGCAAACGGCACCTCGCGGGTCACCAGCTCCCACAGCAGCACCGCGAAGCTCCACATGTCAGCCGAGCGCCGATTAATTTCCTCCGGCTTCTTCTGCAAGGCTGTAGGGAACCCAGCATGGGGGGGGGGGATGAAGGGGGGGGGGCTGCAGGCGAGGAAGGGGCCGAGCAGCAGGAGGGGCCCAGCTACTGGGTGCTCACCTTCTGGTGCTACCCAGGCCGGTGCGTACATCCTCCCTGGGCACTGGAAGGAGAATTTCACATCGGCCATGCTGATCCGTGCTGTCATGTCCTCGTCGATCTGGGGAGAGGCGGGGGGGGGGGGGTGGTCAGCGGGGAGCCTGCCCTGCCCCGTTCTGCAGGAGGAAGGGCTCGACACGGACGCTCACCATGATGCTGCGGCTGTTGAGGTGGTGGCGTGGGATGAGGGGCTCCAGCGTGTGCAGGAAGGCCATGCCCCGGGCGATGTCGAAGGCGAACTTCACTGCCTGTATCTGGTCCACCACGAAGTCTGCAGGGAGGGAGGGAGGGAGGGTGGCATAAGGGTAAGTGTGCGCGGGGGCGCTACGTCCCTGGCAGCGCGCGTGGGAAGGGACGGGGCTGGCAGACACCCCGCACGCGGGGCAGGCACGCAGACTGGAGCCTGAGCTCGCCCCAGGGTGGTGCAGCTGCCACCCCCCCCAAACGCACAAAGCAGCAACTTCTCGAGGACGGGGAGACGAGGCCCTGCCACCCCCCCCCTCCCCATCAGCACTCACTTGTCCCCTCGTGTAACACGTTATAGAGAGAGCCATAGGGCATCCAGTGGCTGATGACGATGGGGTGGGGCGCTGGTGGGGACTGGCAGGCGCCCAGCACCGGGAGCACGTTGGGGTGAGAAAAGATCCTGCAAGAGAAGCGACAGCCCTGAGAACAGCGGGTGCTGCCCACCACCCCTCGTTGGCCCCCTGCCCTCTGCGCTGGCCTCCCCACCACCCCCTTGCCTTCCCCGGGTGCTGCTCTGGAGCATTCCCACCCGACCCTGCGGATCCGGTCGGCTCTCGCCTCTCTCGTCCTCCCCTGGAGATAATGCCTGCCCTCGAGAGCCGCCGCTGCCTCGGGGAAGGATGTCGGCACTCACCGCAGCTTCGGGTATTCTTCGTTGAAGTCTCGGCTCTTCCGAGTTGTCCAGTCCCGGATTTTCAGCATTTTGATGACAATGTCGTTGCCTTGCCAGCGTCCTTTCCACAACTGCAGGTGGAGACCCGTCACTGTGAGGGGGACACCCGGCCCCCCAGCACCTCCCAGCCCCTCGCCCAGGGCTGCGGGGCCCACGGACCCCACGGGACGGACGGGTCCACAGCGACGTGGAGGGACTATGACAAAGCGTGAGAGCGAGCCCTGGCCTGTCGGTCCCGCTCAGGTGCCCTCTCTCTGCGTGGGCTGGCCCCACACCTGGATATGGAAACCCACCAAGCAGTTGTGCCCCAGTTCTGCACTCTGTGGCCAGCCAGGGACTGGGGGGGGGGGGGGAGCAGTGGTCTGCATGGGTACAGCTACCCAGTCCCGGGGGGGGGGGGGGGGAGTGTGCAACAGGCTTACGTACCTCTCCTGACTGGTTCTCATTGAGTTTTTGGCTCAAGCTCAGCTGTTTGAAGTCGATTCCAGCAAGTTTGTTAAGCGTCCCGTTTCCTGTAAGAAAAGGAGATGCGGCCTGTGGCTGCATGGACCTTCCTCCCGACCTCCACCCGGGACCGTGGAGGGAGGCAGTACCCGTGGGACGCCTCCGGTGAGGAGCCACCTTCAGCGAGGGGATTTCCACCTCCAAAACGAGCCATTTGCAGCGCAGGCTGCTGCCCCCTCCCCAGAAGCCTGCCCTGCCGTTCAGGAGGGCTGTGCTCTGCCCCGTTAACAGCGTGCCCCACGAGGGATGGCTCCATCCTTACTGGGACGCGTGCGGGTCGTGCCCTTCCAGAAGGTATCCTTGTAGGGGATCTTGGTGAGGCTCTGGCCCAGCTTCTCGGCGCGCTCTGGAGAAGGACAAGGAGTTTGGCAGCACAGGCAGAGAGCTCGCTGATGCTGAGCGCCGGGGCTGCCGCAGGAGCAGGTTGTGGGGTCAGGATGAGAAATTTTTACCTTTCAAGACCTCCCGCAGCGGTGTCTTGGCTTTGTCAATGGGCGTCTCGCCGTATTTGTTAGCGATGCTGACCAAGGCCCCGTTGCCCACCAGGTCCTGAGGGAGGAGAAAGCGAGCAGCTGCAGATTGCTGTCCCTTTCTCAGCCTCTTCGTGCACACGCAGCCTCCCGCCTCGTCCCTCCCCGTGTCCCTTTTAGCCACCTCCCTCGCCCTTGACTCCTGCCTGGGCCCAAGTGCTCCCGCTCACCTCTGCCACCTGGTCGTGGCCCCAGAAGCAGGCGTAGTGCAGAGGCGTGTTCCCGTGCTCGTTCACCGCGTTGATGTCTGCTTTGAACTGGATCAGCTAAGGGCGGGATAATCCCCGTAAATCTCGAGCAGGTTCCCCCCAACCCAGCACCCTGCCCTGAGAGAGGGCAGGGGCACCACCAGCAGCACATTCGCTGCCTCGGTGCCGGCGAGGTCTGCGGTGGGGAGGGGGCTGAGGCTGGATGCGGGGCTTCTGTGGGGCTCAGGGACACCGAGGTGGGGGCTTCTGTGGGGAGGGCAGAGGCGCTCAGGGACACCGAGGTGGGGATGCAGCAAGCTCCCAGCAGGGAAGCTGGCAGGGGGGCAGCGGGGAGAGGGTCCCGGGCGGACGGGCTCAGTTTGCCACGGGGCTGCGTGGGCCCGGGAGGCGGCGGGGAAGGGGCCGGGGGTGCTGGCCACGGGAGGCAGGCACCTTCTGCACGATGTCACGGTGGCCGTGGCTGGCGGCCAGGTGCAGCGGCGTGTCGTCGCCGCGGTTCATGACGTTGATGCGCGCTCCCCGCATGATGAGCATGTCGACCACGTTGGAGCGGCCCTCGCGGCAGGCCCAGTGCAGGGGGCTGAAGCCGTGGTCATCCCTGCAGAGACGGCAAGGGCAGCCCTGCTGACCGTGTGTGCGTCCATCCCCCCCCCCCCCCAGCCCGGGCAGCACCGCAGCCGGGCGGGCATCACCCCACGCGCCCGCACAGGGCCCGCGGAGGCGAAGGGGACAGGCTGAGCGGTTCTCCCGCTCTCTCCCATCCCCACGAGGGCCCCAGAGGCCCTGGCCAAATCCCATCTTCTCCAGGGCTGAATCACAGAGATGCTGGCAAGAGCCGGATCGCCCCCCTCCATCCCCCCTGGCTCCCGGTGCCTGGCCAAGTAAGGGAGGAGGAGGCCAGCCGGGCCTTAAAAGGAGATTAGGGCCTGGCAGGCGGGGGCTGCTGCATCCCTGGCTCTCCTCCAGCTCCAGATCCCCCGCACAGCAGACCCCATCTGCCCCCCGCACCGCCCCCGAGGGCAGGCAGGGGTACCCCGGCACAGGCACCCGGGACCTAAATGCCTCAGCGAGTGCCAGCCAGCCCCCAGGCACAACACGTGGGACAACTGGGACCCCCCCCCCCCCCCCCCAGGAGGGGCTGAAAGACACATTCAGAGCAAGGCCCTTGGTCCAGAAGGAGTACGGGAGAGATGCTGCCAGGGCCTGGCACGGGATCGCTGGCGTGCGGCCGACAGCAGTGCCTGCTCTGCCCCCCAGGCCAGGGGGATAGGTGTCTGCTCTAAACCTTGCGCCGGCTCCCGAGGGGGAGGTTGGGCAGCGCGTCGGAGCGCACGGTCCTGCGGGAGATGCTGGAGCGGGGAGGAGAGCTGCGGGGAGGAGAGCTGCGGGGAGGAGAGCTGCGGGGAGGAGAGCTGCGGGGAGGAGAGCTGCGGGGAGGAGAGCTGCGGGGAGGAGAGCTGCGGGGAGGAGAGCTGCGGGGAGGAGAGCTGCGGGGAGGAGAGCTGCGGGGAGGAGAGCTGCGGGGAGGAGAGCTGCGGGGAGGAGAGCTGCGGGGAGGAGAGCTGCGGGGAGGAGAGCTGCGGGGAGGAGAGCTGCGGGGAGGAGAGCTGCGGGGAGGAGAGCTGCGGGGAGCAGAGCTGCGGGGAGCAGAGCTGCGGGGAGCAGAGCTGCGGGGAGCAGAGCTGCGGGGAGCAGAGCTGCGGGCAGGGTGTGCGTCGGGTGGGCAGGAGTGCCCCGCACAGCTCCTGACCCCGGGATGGTTCCCAACCCTGCTGCTAGACCCCAGCCCCTGCCTTCCACACGTCCGGCTGCAGTGTTCCCAGGAGAAGGGGGCAGGGGACGCAGTCGCCCAGCCAACCCGGGGGACCGGGGGCTTCTCCCCAGCCACCCCCAGCCCAACCGCGTCCCGTCTGGTGGCGGGAGCAGAGGCGGCGGCCGGAGGATGTGCGGCCCTCGTGCCTCAGCGATGCCGTAACTTCCTCCCGGCGGGGAGGAGCCGAATCCCACCCCCCCTCCCCAGGACACCGAGGAGAGCGGAAGCGAGCCCCGGCCCCAGCCCAGCACCCTCGCAGCTGAGCGGGGGACACCCCCGGGGGGGGGGGGGGCGGGATCCAGCCCAGCCAGGCTCACCCCTGGTTGAGGTCGTTCTCGGTGTTGTCGAGCCAGAGACGCACGGCCACCGCGTTGCCCTCTCGGCACTGCGTGAAGATGTCGTCCATCGCGGCTCTCGCTGTGGGGAGGGGTGCGTAAGGACACAGGGTCCCATTGCGGAGCAGGACCCCCTGCCCCCCCCCAATTCCCCCATGCAGCCCCAGGACCTGGACTTCACCTCCCGCAGCCCCTCGGCTCCTGGCAGCCCCTCAGCTGGGGCTTCTCCCTGGGGGGGGGGCAAGGGCAGGAGCCTCGTGCCCCTTCCTCGGCAGCCCTGCAGAAAACCCCAGGGACTGCCGAAGGCTGGGGACAGAGCTGGGCTCGCAGCTGAAGGGGAAGTTCACGACTGACTCCAACATCACGGTGCCTGCAGCAGCTCGCAGGAAGCAGATCTGGCATCCACAAGCTTATCTGCAGCCCCAGCCAGACCTGGGTGCCCGGATCTCCTGGGAGGGGAGCAGAGCTGGAGGAGGTCCAGCACCACCCTGCATGGGATCCCACAGCTCCATAGATCCCCCCCCCCCCCCCCCCCCCCCCCCCCCCCCCCCCCCCCGATCCCCAGCTCTGACCCAGGCTTGGCTGAACCTGGCCCAGCGTCACGCTCAAGAAACTGCGACCCCAAAGGTCCATGAACTCCCCCTCTCTCCACTCCAACCAACAGACACCCCAGCCCGGAGCCAGGCAATGAACATGCATCCTGGTTCCATTTTTAACCCCTCGACAACAGCAGCCTCGCCGAGTCCCAGGGCGGCGCACTGCCCCGAGCTCCCCAGCAGCGTGGGGCCGTGCCCGGCAGGTACTTTCGTGCCTGGGGGTCTGTGGCACCAAGCAGGGACGTGGGGCTGCCCACGGTGCAGGAGCAAGGACAGACCCACCACGATGCCCCTGACACACAACCACGAGGGCTTAAACCAGGTGCCCCTCAGGGTCTGGCCCTCGCCCAGCTGCAGCGGGACCCCCCCCCCCCCCAGCTCCGCACTGGGCCGCTGGCCCCCCCCCCGGCACAGCCACTGCCCGTGTCGCAAGCTCCGGGCAGCCACGGGGGGGGGGGCAAAGGGATGCTGGGGACCCTCGCAGGGAGCAGCATCAGCCCCGGCACTTCAGGGCAGCGCCGGTCCCGGCTCACCGGCTGCGGAGGACAGGGCCCCCCCGCCCGCGAGCTGCCAGGAGCCACAGCTACGCCCCGACGTCCTGCGGGTCCTGCCAGCCCCCCCCCCCCCCCCCCCCCCCCCCCCCAGAATGGATTTCTGACACCCGGGGCGGGACCCGGGCAGGGGTACTCCGGTGGCAGCCCACCCCCCTCGCAGCCCCGTGGGATTCGCATCCCACTGTCACGGCCACCCCCTCCTCCACCAGCCCCGGCCCAGCGCTGTTGCCTGTCCCCACACCGGTCCCGGCTCCGCTGCCGGGCCGCCCCCAGCCCCTGCCCCCCCCTCAAACTGGGGGCCCAGTACCCCCCCACCCCACCCCCCCGCTAAGGAGCCACACTGGCCCTGCCCGCGGAGCCCCAAGACGCCCCGTTCCTCACCGCCCCGACCCCAAACTTACCCCCAAGCTCGGCTGGGGGGGGGGGGGGGGGGGGGGGTCCCGCGCCTCCCCGCAGCCCCCTCCCGCCCCTCGGCGCCCAGCACCGGGCCCGGCCGCGCTGCCTCGTCCCTACGGGCCGCTCCTGGGTGCCGCCAGCCAGACCCCGCCCGGCACCGGCCCCCGTTTTCCCGCCCCGGGCCCGGCCCCAGCCCATCGCCCAGCCCAAGGCCGGTCCCGATCCCGGTCCCGGTCCCGGTCCCAAACCTGCCCCCCCCGGGCCACGCAAACTCACCCCGGCCCGGCCCTGGTCGAGCCACCCCGCAGCCCCAGCCCCGCTCCGCCCCCGGTTCCCGGTGCCCAGCCCCCGGCCCGCCCGCCCTTACCGGCTCCGGCGGCGGCGGCGCAGGGCGGCGGCTCGGCGGGCGCGGGACAGCGCGTGGGCTCCGCCCCGGGCCGGCCGCCGACAGCGCCCCCTGCGGGCCGCGCGCCGCACCGGCTCCGGGCCCCGCTCCACGGGCAGCGGGAACCGGGAACCGGGAACCGGGCAGCGTCAGCACGCAGCGTGGGCGGCACCGGGCGCCTCGAGGCCGGGAGGGGGCGGCACTCGCCGGGGCGCAGCGGGCTGGGGGCGGAGCGAACCGGGGCGGAGGCGGGGCGATGGCGCTGGGGGCGGGGCGCCAGCGGCCCCGCCCCGCGCAGCTAGGCTACCGGGCCTCCCGGCCGCTAGGGGGGCGCTGTGTCCCCGCGGGTGCTGCCGGGGCCACTCTGCGCGGGGGTCCCGGCGGGGCACACGTGGGTCCCGGCGGCCGCGGGCGGAGCGGCCGGTCCCGCGGCGGCCGGGCCATGGCCGCGGGGGAGTGTAACGACGGGGCGGGGGACCCCGCCCGGGCCCGGGCTCGCCCGGTAAGGGGGACGCGCACGGGGCTACGGCGAGCCGGGCCGGTCCCCGGGCGCGGAGGGAGGTGACCGCCCCCCCGCCGCCCTCCGCAGGCCCCCACGGCGGCGGCGGCGAGAAAGCGGCGGCGGGCGGCGGGGGACGGCGAGCCCGCGCGGAAGCGGCGGAGGCGGCGGAGGGCGGCTCCGCCGCCGGACGAGCAGCGCCTGGACACAGGTACCCCTGCCCGGCTCGTCCGGTGGCTGCAGGCCCGCCGGGAGCCCCGGCAGCGCCTGACCGCCCTCTCGGTGCCCGCAGACGCGGCGGGGGAGCCCGGGGCGCTGGGACCGGAGCGGCGGCCGAGCGGGAGGAGGCGGGGAGCCGGGCAGAGGGACGAGCCGCTCCCGGCGGGACCTGGCGGGGCGCGGGACGCGGGGCCGGGCCACCCGGGGCTGCCCCACGGGGAAGCGGTTCCGCCGGGCCGGTCGGCGGCCCTGCGCGCGCGGATGGAGGAGCGGCTGCTGGGCGCCCGGTTCCGGTACATCAACCAGCAGCTCTACACCTCGCCCAGCCGGGAGGCGGCACGGCTCTTCCAGAGCGACCCCGAAGCCTTCGAGATCTACCACCGCGGCTTCGCCCGGCAAGTGGGGCGCTGGCCGGAGAACCCCGTTCAGCGCATCATCCGCTACCTGCGGCGGCGGTGAGCCGGGGAGCACCGGGGAGCCGGGGCTGCCTCCGCGCTGCGGGGACCCGCAGGAGCGGTGGGGCGAGCGGGACGGGGCGTTCTCAGCCCCCCACTTCCCCCCCCCCCCCCTCACCACCCCAGGCCGGCCTCGCTGGTGGTGGCGGATTTCGGGTGCGGCGACTGCAAGATTGCGAGCAGCGTCAGGAACAAGGTTCACTCCTTCGACCTGGTGCCTCTCAGCCCGCTGGTCACTGTCTGCGACATGGCCAAGGTAGGGGGGCCGAGGTGAGGGAGGGCAGCTCTGCTGGGCCTCCTCGGCAAGGCGTGCCCCGCACCCCCCTGGGGTATTTGGGGGGTGGGCTGCGGGCGCACAGGTCGGTGTGGCAGTTCTGGGGAACGGAAGAGGGTGGTCGGGATCCTGAGGGTCCCGTGACGAAGAGGGAGCACGCGTCTGTTCGGAAAACCGGGGCTCCCCCATCCGCAGGGCTCCCCAGAGAAGATGCTTGGTTGAATCCCAGAGCCTGGGGAGCAGCGCGGCGTGGGAGGGCTGCCCCAGCACCGTCACCATCTTCCCCCTGGGGCGGGGGTCCCTGGCAGGTGCCTTTGGCGGGCGAGTCGGTGGACGTTGCGGTGTTCTGCCTGGCACTGATGGGCACCAACCTGCAGGAGATCCTGGAAGAGGCCAACCGCGTGCTGAAGCAGGGGTAGGCAGGGCTGTGCGCGGCGGGCGGGAGGCATTGGGGTGAGCTGGGAGGAAGCGGGGTGCCGGGCTGTGCCCCGGGAGGTGCCGCTGCCGCTGCTCAGGGCCGGGGTGTTCGCAGAGGTACGCTGATGGTGGCGGAGGTGGCCAGCCGTTTCGAGGACATCCGAGCCTTCATGAACGCCATGGCTCAGCTGGGCTTCAGAAGCGTCTCCAAGGTGTGTCCTCGGGTGTGCTGGGTGCACTGGGCCACCGGGAACCAGGGGGCCCTGAGAAAGAGCCCGTGGTCCCTGACAGGGAGAGAGCACCCCTCCTGCTCCAGCGGCACAGCTCGGCCGGGTGCCATCAGGGAGCAGGGGGGTGGTGACAGCACAAGGGGGTTTGGGGGACCTGTGGTCTGGGTCGGAGTCTGTGCTGTGGGGTTCCAGCATGGGGGGCATGGGAGTTAAGGGGACTAGGGGCATGCCAGAGGTCATGATGCTGGAGCGTGGGGGACTTGGGGCACGTAGGGGCTGTGGTGTGGCGGGGGCCTAGGGGTAGGAGGGTCTAGGGCGCACAGGGGGTGTGGTGCTGGGGTCTGAATTGGGGGCTGTGGTGTGGGGGTCCAGGATGGGGGGCATGGGGGTTAAGGGGACTTGGGGCAGAGAGGGGCTGTGGTCTGGGAGGAGGTCGGGGGGGGCGGGGGGGACCTGGAGCCTGCAGGGAATGAAGAGCTGGTGTGTGGGGTGGGGTAGGGGGGTCCCGGGGCCTGCAGGAGATGGCAGGGGGGTGTGGGGTTGTGGTGCCCGCAGGGATGTGGGGGGGGAAATGAGGGGGGTCCGGGTGCCCTGGGAGGGGTCCGGGCGCTGAGGCCACTCTGCCCCAGGACCTCTCCAGCGCCTTTTTCTACTTGCTGGAGTTCGCCAAGACCGGACCCCCCCGGCCCGGCCGCGCCGCTCCCGGCCTGCGCCTGCGGCCATGCCTCTACAAGCGCCGCTGAGGGCGGGGCCTCCCCCGACGCCACGCCCACCGGCACGCCCACCGGGCGGCGGCCTGGCTGCCACAAGCACTGCTTGAGGGCGGGGCCACGCCCATCACCCGCGGCACCGCCCGCACAGGCGCCGCCGGGGGCGGGTCCGCCTGTCGCCCCGCCCCCCCCGGCGGCGCGGTGCCCAATAAAAGCGATTGTTCCGAACGGCCTCGGCGTGCTGGGGGGGAGGGCGGGGGCGGGGCCTGGCGGCGCCTGCGCAGTGCGCGCGGGGCCTGCACGGCGGCGGCGGCGGCGGCGGCGGGAGGAGCCGCGGGATGTCGGGGCCGGGCGGGCCGGGCCCCGGCGGGGGGAAGCTGGACATCAACCGCGCCGGTGTGGCCGAGCTGGAGGGCGCGCTCAGCGGCATCGGCCGCCGCCGCGCCCGTGGCATCGTGCGCAAGAGAGAGGTGCGGGGCGGGGGCGGCCCGGCGGGGCCTGGGCGGGGAGCGGGGCCGGGGGGCGCGGCCCGGCCCGGGGCAGCCGGCCGCCTGGCCTGCACCGGGTGGGGGGGGGGGGGGGGGGCACCGGGCGGGCGGCCGCGCCCGTTCCCCTCGGCTTCCGCAGCCGTGCCCGGCGGGCAGGCGGGGCCGCTCCGGGCCCAGGGGCCGCCCCCCGGGCGCAGCGTCCGGGGCTGCCGCGGGGAACAGGGCCGCGGGGCCGACCGGCTGTCTGTCCGGCTGGCCGCAGGCACGGGGAGCGCTGGGGGGGCCGAGGGGGCCGACCGGCCGGCTGTCTGTCCGTCCGCAGGCACGGGGAGCGCTGGGCAGGCCGAGGGGGCCGACCGGCCGGCAGTCTGTCCGTCCGCAGGCACGGGGAGCGCTGGGGGGGCCGAGGGGGCCGACCGGCCGGCTGTCTGTCCGTCCGCAGGCACGGGGAGCGCTGGGGGGGCCGACCGGCCGGCTGTCTGTCCGTCCGCAGGCACGGGGAGCGCTGGGGGGGCCGAGGGGGCCGACCGACCGGCTGTCTGTCCGTCCGCAGGCACGGGGAGCGCTGGGCAGGCCGAGGGGGCCGACCGGCCGGCAGTCTGTCCGTCCGCAGGCACGGGGAGCGCTGGGCAGGCCGAGGGGGCCGACCGGCCGGCTGTCTGTCCTTCCGCAGGCACGGGGAGCGCTGGGCAGGCCGAGGGGGCCGACCGGCCGGCAGTCTGTCCGTCCGCAGGCACGGGGAGCGCTGGGGGGGCCGACCGGCCGGCTGTCTGTCCGTCCGCAGGCACGGGGAGGGCTCGGCGGGCCGGGGGGGCCGTCTGTCTGTCCATCTGTCCGCAGGCACGAGGAGGGCTCTAGGGGCCGAGGGAGCCGTCTGTCTGTCCGTCTGCCCGCAGTCACGGGGAGGGCTCGGCGGGCCGGGGGAGCCGTCTGTCCGTAGGCACGGAGAGGGCTCTCCGTACCGGGACCGGCGGGCGGTGCAGGGCCAGGGCCGTTGCCGCTCCTGGGAGAGTCCTTCCCGTCGGCGGGCAGCCCAGCCCAGCAGCTCCCTTGTCACTGGGGTTTGGGACGGAGCCTCCAGGGCTGGTGACAGGTGACGTTGCACGTAAAGAGCAAAAAAAAAAAAAAAAAAAAAAAAAAAAAAATTAGTTCCTGGGTGGAAGGGGCAGAAGCCCGTCTGGTGTGGTCACGATGGGCTGGAGATCCTGCCGCTCCTCTCGGCTGACTGTTTAGCTCTGTCATTTGGAAATGACAGAGTAGGAGAAAAGCCTGTGCGTGGTAGTCACTTGCAGGATGACTGAGCTGCCAGTGTGACACAGCCACGAAAAAGGTGAGCAAGAGCTTAGGCTGTATCTGCCGTGGTGGTTGTAGCAGAGACAGGAAGATTAATGCCACCCTTTTGCCATTAACGCTGTGAATAACTGGCAAGATTGTGGCTGGAATATGGCATCTTGTGTTGAAGCAGGCAGAGTGAGGCAGGAGAAATCGGGGAAAGGGGAGGCTGGCTTGACAACGCAAAACTGGAAGAGCTTGACTTTTTTTGGCCTGGCAAAGAGGAGGGTGAGGGGGGCAGGGTCACCAGTTATAAATACAGCAGGAATGTAAACACCGTGGAGGCGGAAGAGCAAGAGCCATTTAAACAAAAGGACTGCTGGTAGGAGAACAGGTGAGGACAGCTTTGCAGAAATGGGGTTTGTCACTAGAGCTGTGCTTTTGAGCAAAGCTATTTATAGGGGAGAAGCAGCAGAAAAGCCTTCAAATGATGCATGATGAGATTGAGAGAGGATGGTTGGAACCTCGTCATGGCGCTGACGTCTCCGTTAGCCACAAAGGGTGGATGCTTCCCACCCTGGGATCCTGCCGCCGTGCTAACAGCCAGGCCGTCCCTGCTGGGTTTAGGCCCTCTGGGCTTCTGGCAGAACCTGCTTGGAGCCCGTACGGGGTGTAGGTGCCATTGGTGGAAGCGTGAGTGCAGGGCTCGGCAGTTCTCGCCCCGGTGTTTTGCAGGATGGAGGGTGCCTTCCACGCTCACACACACGCGTGTGCCTGGCAGGAGGCAGGGGGCTGTTTCCCTTCCCTGGAGCTGCAGACGAGGGAGATTGTGTGGGCCAGGGAATGCTCTTAGTCTTGGTATCAGTCAGCTGGAAGGCATAGTTCCCCTTTCTGAGCTTTTAGCCTTTGCTGTTGTGCCCCTGCTGCCCTTGTTAGTTGCTTGTTCCTTGCAGGCGTTGCAGTTGTCGCTCGTGTCAGGGAAGGTTTGTGGAAATGGGAGGGATTACGTGGGAATCGCTGTTTTGGGCAGAAGGCATCCCTTACCCCTGAAGGGAGCAGCAGCAAGGACTTGCAGTACAAAGGTATCGTCTTGCTGTGGCAGCCTGACCCCTTTCCCCTGAAGGGAGCTGGTGGCTGTAAGAGAGATGCAAGCTGGTAGGTCTGGACCAGCCAGGAAGGAGCCTGTTTGAGGGAGGGTGTGAGTAATCTTGGTCCTGCTTGGAGGCTGGTCCCTGGGTTTCTCAGCTCCATATCGAATCTTACTTCTCTCCGCACAGGAACTCAAGGGATTCAACTCACTTGATGATCTTCTCCATGTCAAAGGCATCACCACCCGCATCTTGGAGCTGAACAGTCAGCGGATGACTTGCAGGAGGAGGCCAAGCAGTGAGGAAGCTGTGAGGGTGAGCCCTGGTCTGCAAGGGGACAGCAAAGCTCCTGTGCCTCAGGTAGGAAAGGAGAGGTAGGCTTCCCCTGCCTCCCTGGTGTGGGGGTGATTCCCCCCCTCCAGCAGCGCAGGAGTCGGGGAGGGGGATCTCGCACCGGGAGAGGTGGCAGCTGGTAGAGGGACAGGGGAGGAGATGTACCTGCTTTGGGCACTGGAACAGGGAGGCCCAGGGAATGCTCTGCCCTTTCAAACAGCCACACGGTCTGTCCACAGCCTCCCTGTGAGGAGGGAGCTTGCTTTGGGGATCGTCCTGGCGGGGGTGGGGTGGGATGAGACGCTGCAGACCCAGGTGGTTTTGTGGTGGGTGGGTGTCCTGCCAGAGCCTCGCCAGGACCGGCTCTGGCCACTGTGATGCGTCTGCCCCACCATCCCTGGTAGAAACAATGGACACTCGTGGCTTCCTGCTGCCTTCCCTGCCCCAGAGCAGCTAGGCATCCGTAGGTCTCCTGCGGACAGCTGTGCAGTTCCACTAATTGTTTATCGCTGGAGGCCAGGACTGGGTGTGGAGAGAGGCTCTTCCCCTGGACCGACAGCTGAGGAGGCCAGAGTCCGTGTCTCTCGCCAAGCTCTCTACCCTGCTGTCCGCCTTGTCTGCGGGGAGCGGCGGCCAGCGCGCTGTCTGCTCGGGCTGGCACGCACCCAGCTCGGCTCTGGGGAGTGCATCTTCCTGCAGTGCTGCCTGTGGGGCTGAGGAAATTCACTCACCCAAGAGCAGCTCAGCCCTGCCAAGCTCTCGAGCACGCTGCGCGGTCAGGGGACGACGAGTGTCGGAAGGTGTTTTACTGCCTGGGAGCTGTCAGCGACTTCTGCCCCCGTGCTGCCCCAGGAGCAGCGTCCCAGGGTCCGCGACCCTCCGAGACCTAGATGTGACCCCCAGTTCTAGGTGCCGGAGGAAGTGCTTGAGAAACCTGGGTTCAGTGCTGCCTCCTGAAGAGGTGTGTCCACATGGGCTGTTGTGTCGTGCCTTCTCATCCGGCCACTGCCTCTGCCCGAGAGTCCAGCCCTGCTCCGAGCCTACCTGCCAAACAGGGTCCAGTCTGACTGGGTGGTGCGAAGAGATGACCAGTCTGCCTCTGATCTGGGGAGTCTGTCCAGGGCTAGGCACTTAAGCACATGTGCACTGAAGCCTCATTTCTAAATGCAAATGAACCCACCCCTAACTGCAGTAAACGTTGCAGTGCTTAGTAGGAGCCCTGTAAAGCAGCAGGGTTTTTCCTTCCCTGGGTGTGTTTTTGTGTTGTGACTGAAACACCTTTCTGTTTCTTTTCTTCTCCTGCAAAATACTTGTTCCAGATTTTGAAACATTTTGGGGGGAGGAGATTGAGCAGCGTCTTCAGCTTTTAAGGATTCATTTAAAAACGGTTTGGGCATTGCAGGACTCGAGTGTGTAGGGCAGTGTAGGGGGTAGCACTGCTTTCCCGCTTGCGTTTCTTCCCTGTTCAGATTTTCGAGCCTGCAGCTTGTGCCGAGTGCGACCGCTCAATCCATTTCAGTTATTGCTTTACAGGATGCCCAGTCCCTGGTGCCTAGCTGGCTCTGCCCTCCCCGTCTTTAGGTGGGCAACATTGACTCTGGGTGCGTTGAAATGCATTTCATTTGGGTGAATCCAGCTTACCAAGCCATGCAGCTCACGCTGGCTGTCCTGTCCTTGCTACCTACCCAAGTGTCAGTCTCGAAACATAATCAGAAAAGATTTTATCCAATTATCAATAAAACAAATACTGCCTACTGTGGTTTTCCATACGCACACCCACACCCCCCCTTATGGGTCTGCAGTAGGCCCATCGGCAGAAAACCTGCAGTTTCCCAGGAACAGGTACATTTTGAGATCTGTTCACTGGCTCTTTCTTGATCTAAGCCCCCTCACCCGACAGCCCTTCAGAGCCTGTGGCATGCCACTGTTTCCATCAGAAGCCTGTGCCCTGGTCAAACGTTTAGAAGTGTATGAGTACTTCTCATCAATGTAATTTATGTAATTGCTTTTTTAACCAAATGTAACACTTCAAGGAATAAACTCAATTTTATTTGAAAAGACCTATTTTCATAAAGTCTCATCAGCTGGTACAAAGTATGTCCCTGTCATTTGCTTGTTGAATCCTCCACTGGCCTCTCTATTGCCAGATGTCAGGCTATGTAAAGACTTATTTTTTTTCTCCTGCCTTCCTCAGTTTTGGCACAACTTTCACACTCTCGTGGTCTTTGCAGTTTTTCCTGTGTTCCGAGATTTACCAAAAATAATTGCTGTGGGCCAGCGATCTCCTGTACTACTCTCTAGGACTGAGGTGCAAATTATCCTGGGCTGCTGATTGAAGTGTTTTATTGGTGTATTGGAAAACAGTTCCTCATTCCTGCGTGATACAGAGGCGTTGTTCTGCTTCCTCCAAGCAATTACTGAATGCTTCTGCTTTTTTTTTTTTTTTTTTTTTTTTTTGTGTGCGCGTGGTGTTACGGTGCTGCTTGCTTTGGGGAGGAAGGGTGCAGGTGGCATTGGGTGGGCACACACTACTAACCGACCTCTGATCTGGGGAGTCTGCCCAGGGGCATCGTTGCTCCTGGCCGGGTTGGCTGGAGGGCGAAGGGAGCTCCGCGCCGGGCCGGAGGCTGAAATGCAACACGTGCCCCCTCCCCGAGACCGGGGCAGTGCCCGGGCACGGCAGCGGCGGCTCCTCTCCCCGCTTTGAGCAGTGAAGGGCAGAGGCTGCTCCCGGCTGCGGGCGGGGAGGTGGCTCTCCGTGGCACTGGGGCCAGCGCCTTCGGAGGCGTTCCGCACCGCTGGTGCTCCCGCGGCGAACGGCTTTTCGGCGTAAGCTGGTCACGTTGCAGCGGTGCCTCTCTCCCTCTGGGGCTGGGAACTGACCTGTCTCCAGGTCGTGCTTGGCCGTAGCTGCCCCTTGACCCCAGGCAGCACCTGGGCTCAGTAGCCTACCCCCCAGTTCCCATCCTCGGCTCCGCTCAGCTCATTCCCCGCTCTTCCGCACTGCGGAGGGAAGCCCTTGTATTCCTTGAGCCGCTGCTCTGGCTGGCAGCCCCCCGACGTGTCCCTGGGTCCCCGGGCACCCCGAGAGCAGACAGGCCTGACCCTGCCTCTCCCTCTGTTGTAGGTGGTGGCTGAGGAGGAGGAGGTTTCGGGCCCTTGGGAGCCGGAGCGCTCTGGGAAGGGGAGCCCAGGGTCAGGACCGGAGGCTGATGGCTCCAGTGGGCCAGGGGCACAGGAGCCGGTCAGCTCCACCGTCTGCGGGGAGCAGGAGGAGGAGGAGGAGGAAGAAGAGGAAGAGGGGAGCTGCTACAGCGAGGAAGGGGAGGATGGTAGCAACGTCTACTTCTATTACACCATCGGAGAGCGCTGGATAGACTACCTGCAGCGGACAGAGGACGGTGGCCTCCTCCGTCACGTGCGGCCCAAGGTAACCCCTGCTGGGAGCACGGCCCGGGCCAGGGCTTTGCCCGAGGAGCGGGGCTGCCCGTGGGGCTGGTGGCTCCCCGGCCGGAGCTGACCCTGGCCTGCTGCCTGCCTGCGGTCCTGTCCTGGTAGCTGGTGGCCTCAGAGCCTACGAGCCCCGCTGCTAGCTAGCCGTGGCAGCGGGCCACGGGCTACCGTGGCACTACAAGCTCCTGCTGCAGGGGCTGCGTGTCTGGCTGGCTGTCGCTGCTGCTGCAGACCCCCAGGGGAGCCGTCCCGCTCCGCTCTGGGGTCCCGGCATCACAGCACAAGACGCTGAGCTGGGGCAGCGGGAGTCTGCTGGGGGGGGGGGGGGGGGTCAGGCAAAAGCCTCCGGGAGATTTCTGCGGGACGTGGGCGTTGCGGGGAGAAGCCCTGGCCAGCCCTGAACGCAGGGCTGCAGCTGCTGCCGGGCCAGTTACTGCAGGGAAAGAGCCCCCCTTTAGCCAGGGGAGGGGGCAGCCCGTGCTCACCCACAGCACCGTCTGGTTGCCACCCCGCTCTCCCCACGTTCCCTGTTAACCCTGCGCCTCCTGGACAGAGCGAGAAGGATGTAGATTGCTTTCGACGGGACCACGTCAGGGTGCAGTCTGCCCCATCCCCGCGCAGCTCTCCGTGTTGCTATCGAGTGGCCCCGGGGCCCGTCGGTGGGGCTGCTGTGCCAGGAGCCTTCAGCGTGCCGAGTTCCTTGCTCGGGCTGCAGGTCTGCCCACTCCGCGTTCAACTGTGCTTAGAGAAGGGCCAAGCAGTTGTACCCATAGGTTTTCTCAGTCACTGCTCTTGTCCTTGCGCAGCTGTCTTGCTGCCTTTTCCCCCATCAGGTCTGATACTCCCCTTGGAAGGACCAGGTTCCATTTTGCCCACAGAAGTTGACCCTTCTGCCAGCTCTAGAGCTCAGGTGGCCTTCAGCTTCCCTCTGCAGGTCCCCGTCGTGAGCGTGGGCTCAAAAAGCTTCCTACGCCGAGTCTCCTACTCTGTCGCTTTGGGCAGAAGATCAGTGACCCCGAATGTGCACGCAGGGCTCTCTGCTCCAGCCTGCTCTAACTTGCCTTCTCCTTGCAGATGAAGCGGAAGTCAGAGAACGGCCTGGATGGCCGGGCCCTTTCCCCTGGTAAAAAGCTGTGCAAGGGCTCCGAGTACAGCAGGTAAGAGGAGCGTCCCGCATGCTGAGCAACCGGTTGACCTGCGGGGTGGGAAAACCCTCCTACCAGTCCCATCCCTCAGCCATCTGGGCGTCCCGCTGAGGCTGCGGAGTCTCCATCCTCAGAGAGACACAGAAACCGTTTGGCTGGTCCCGCTTGGGCTGGAGGTTGGAGCAGATGCCCTCCCGAGGTGCCCCACCCCCCCCCCCCCCGCCCCCAGCCCCGACCGTGTGTGATTCTGTCATTCTGCAGAGCGGGCCGGGCCAACGGGTCTGCCTGCGTGGCTGTGGTCCCGGTGGAGCGATGGGGAAGGGGGCTAGCCTGGCGGGAGGCTCACGGCTGGTGCCTCACGGGGACCTCCCTTCTGAGAGCTGCCCAGTGTGGCTCAGAGCAGCACTGGCCTGTCTCACTTTTGCCTCGGTCTCTCCCCGGCTGCTGTCCAGGACGCTGGGTCCCTGCATGCCCAGCCCCACCACCACCTTCGGGGACCTGCGCAACGCCAAAGCAGGCCAGGCACGGCGCCGCCGCATCCCCTCGGTCGCTCCTCCTCCCGAGCTGCAGGACTGGCTCCGCACCTTCCAGGTAAGGCACCTCCCCGGGCCGGATCCTTCCCAGGGCTCACCTCGGAGGGCACCGAGAAGCTTTCGGTTCGAGGGGCGGCGGGAAGGGAGCCAAGCCCTAGAGGGTCCGTCTGCATGAAACCCACCGCAGGCAGGGCTTTGGGTCCCACGGTGGATTTTTAGTGAGCTTTTGCCTCAGGTAAAGCAGCCCAGATAGCCCCCCCCCCCCCGCCTTGCTCCTTTTTGTTCTGGAGGGGTGTTGCTCTGTCCGCCGTCACACAGCACCCGTGTTCCCCCCTGATGTGACTCGGAGCTCCTAAGCCCGTTCTGTGGCTCCTCCATCCTGGGACCCAGGCAGCAGAGCCCTGGCTTGCTCCTGTCGTGCCCGTGCTGGCTGGTGGCTGCTGGGGCCGGGGCGGAGGCACCGCGTGGGGCCCCTGCGAGGGCCTGCCGTGGGTGCAGGCGTCGCGACACGTGTGTCCCCCCCTTCCTCAGCGCTGGAGTGGCCCGGAGAAGCTGCTTGCTCTGGATGAGCTCATCGATCGCTGCGAGCCCTCCCAGATCAAGTACATGATGCAGGTCATTGAGCCCCAGTTCCAGAGAGACTTCATTTCCCTGCTGCCCAAGGAGGTGAGTTGGGGCGAGGGACGGACTGGCCCTGGCCCTGGGCCCCAGTTACTGGTCGCGGGAGCCCACTGTGCCCTTGTGACTCGGCTTCCACTCCTGCAGCTGGCACTCTATGTCCTCTCGTTCCTGGAGCCTCGGGACCTGCTCCGTGCTGCCCAGACCTGTCGCTACTGGAGGGTCTTGGCTGAAGATAACCTGCTTTGGAGGGAGAAATGCCGCGAGGAAGGTAAAGACCTCTCTTGCACGTGGCGTGCTGTGGCTGGGATCCGCACAGCTCCCCACGGATGTGCATCTTCTCAGCTCCCCGGTGGGGTGAGGGCCTGTGTACTGTGAGGCATCCCTCTGTGTTTTCCTCCTGCAGGCATTGAGGAGCCCTTGAACCTGCGGAAGCGGCGCCTGCTGAGCCCTGGGTTCATGTACAGCCCCTGGAAATTTGCATTCATGCGGCAGCACAAAATCGACATGAATTGGCGCAGTGGGGAGCTTAAAGCCCCCAAGGTGGGTGCTTTCAGGAGTCTTTGCTGAGAACCAGGCTCCAGAGCTTTGACGTCTAGGAAGCTGTACAGGAAGGAAGTACCAGAGAAATATCCATGACCAGTAGGATGAGAACAACGCTCAGGATTTTAGAAGCGCCCCAGGAAAAGGTTCACAGGTCTGGCCTGTCTTCAGGAAGCACAGGCCTGAGGCATTCCCCTGGAAATATTGGATGGCAAAGGTCCTGGAGGCTGCGGGTGCTGCCAGCTTCCTGCACCTCCTGTCCCGGCCTGCAGAGAGCAGCCCCCCGGCACAGCTTTGCCGGGAGCTTTCCGTGTGCTCTGGCTGGCGGCACGGCCGATGCCGGGTTCCGCCAGCAGCAGGGGGGTCACGCTGCACCCCAGAGAGAGAAGGGGTTTGCTGCACCCCAGAGAGAGAAGGGGGTTGCTGCACCCCAGAGAGAGAAGGGGTTTGCTGCACCCCAGAGAAGGGGTTTGCTGCACCCCAGAGAGAGAAGGGGTTTGCTGCACCCCAGAGAGAGAAGGGGGTTGCTGCACCCCAGAGAGAGAAGGGGTTTGCTGCACCCCAGAGAGAGAAGGGGTTTGCTGCACCCCAGAGAGAGAAGGGGGTTGCTGCACCCCAGAGAGAGAAGGGGTTTGCTGCACCCCAGAGAAGGGGTTTGCTGCACCCCAGAGAGAGAAGGGGGTTGCTGCACCCCAGAGAAGGGGGTTGCTGCACCCCAGAGAAGGGGTTTGCTGCACCCCAGAGAGAGAAGGGGTTTGCTGCACCCCAGAGAAGGGGTTTGCTGCACCCCAGAGAGAGAAGGGGTTTGCTGCACCCCAGAGAAGGGGTTTGCTGCACCCCAGAGAAGGGGTTTGCTGCACCCCAGAGAGAGAAGGGGGTTGCTGCACCCCAGAGAAGGGGTTTGCTGCACCCCAGAGAAGGGGTTTGCTGCACCCCAGAGAGAGAAGGGGGTTGCTGCACCCCAGAGAGAGAAGGGGTTTGCTGCACCCCAGAGAAGGGGGTTGCTGCACCCCAGAGAGAGAAGGGGTTTGCTGCACCCCAGAGAGAGAAGGGGTTTGCTGCACCCCAGAGAGAGAAGGGGGTTGCTGCACCCCAGAGAGAGAAGGGGGTTGCTGCACCCCAGAGAAGGGGGTTGCTGCACCCCAGAGAAGGGGTTTGCAGCCCCTCGCCCCTTCTCTGCGCCAGCCTCGGCACCCCGGCAGCGGTGCAGCCCTCCCGGGGCTCGCCCGAGCCTCGTCCCGGGCACACGGTTCCGGAGCTCTCGGCTGTTCTGCCCCTGCCAGGGTCCCTGCCACCCCCCCGTCCCTGTGCAGGGGGCAGGGGGAGCAGAGCCCCAGCCCCCCCTTCTCGCCGGCTCTGCGGGGACGGTCTCGGTCCTGCCGCGGTGTTGCGGGCCGCCGGTGCCCCCAGCCCCTTCCCCAGCCCCCCCGCCTGGGTGGCACCGGCGGTGAGCAGCGGTGCTCTGCACCCCCCCACCCCCCCGCAGCAAAGTGGCTCCAGGCAGCCCTCTCCCCAGCCCCCCCCCCGGGTCCCTGTGCCCCCGTGAGCCCAGCTCCTCGGGGTGCTGCCCGCGGGGACCCCTGCCCGCCTTCGCTGCCACGTGGCACAGAGCTGGTGGTCCTAAACGTGCCCTGGCTGACGGCCACCCGATTTTGGTCTAGGACAGAACGTCAGCTCTGAGCTCGATAGCTTGCATGGCCTTAATAGCCACAAGGTCCATCTGTGTTTTTAGAGTTCCTGGTAGCCCACTGCTCCCCAGCAGTAGCCAACAACTGCCCCCCCCAGCTCCCGCTGTAGCTGCTGCCCTGCTGAGCAGCAGCGGGGAGGTGCCAGCCGCTGCAGGGACCCATCTGTTCTTCCTCCCCCCCGGCACTTTCTGCTTCCCCACCGTTCCGAGGCCCGAGGCTCTGCCGGGCTGCCCCCCCCCCGCCCCCCCCCCCCCCCCCCCCCCACCTCCTTCCTTACTCGTGGTGTTCTCCACGCAGGTGCTGAAGGGACACGATGACCACGTCATTACCTGCCTGCAGTTCTGCGGCAACCGGATAGTCAGTGGCTCGGACGACAACACGCTCAAAGTGTGGTCGGCTGTCACTGGGGAGGTGAGCTCCCGCCCACGGCCGCGGCGGGGCTGCCACGCCGGGGGGGGGGTCACGCCGATCCCCTGCCTTGCTGCAGGGATGGGTGGGGGGTGTTAGGGGCATGGCGGCCTTTTCGGTGGGTTTATTTTGCCTCCGGCAAAGCGCAGCTGGGGAGAGGGGTTGACAGATCGCGGGGCTGCAGGAGCAGCGGGGAGAGCGAGTCTGGGTGCGGTAAGAAAGGAGCAAGGGTTGGCCACGCCTGCGTTTCCACAGGCGGTCGGCAAGCGTGGGGAGGCGAGAAGGGCAGGAAACCCACCTGGGTTTGGAATAGCGAGTGGTCAGTATCACAGGGCGGGCTCTGCGGTGGGGGCCAGGGTCTCTCTGCGGGGAGTTGCTTCGCTGACCCGAAGAGCCTCGCCGACCCCTCGCCCGGAGGGAATCCTGCGCGTTGCCGTTCCCTTTGCTGCGCTCAGCCCTTCCCAGACCAGCTTCTCCCGCCTTGTTCTTTGCAGTGTGTGCAGACACTGGTTGGCCACACAGGGGGAGTGTGGTCTTCCCAGATGAGGGACAGCATCGTCATCAGCGGCTCCACGGACCGGACCCTCAAGGTGTGGAACGCGGACACGGGCGAGTGCGTGCACACGCTGTACGGGCACACGTCCACGGTGCGCTGCATGCACTTGCACGGGAACAGGTAAGGGGGCGGCGGCGCTCGGAGCCCGGTCTGGTCTTTGGGGCTGGGGAAGGTGTGGAAGCTTCAGGGGCCTGGGCCGGTCTGGCGTGGGGAGTGGGGCAGGGGAAGGTGCAGAGGCCACGGGGGCTTGGGCTGGTCTGTAGCGGGAAGCTGCTGCGTGGGAAGGGGGCGTCCCTGGGGAGGATCAGCAGGGGCTGCTGCCCCGGGGCAAGCTCGCGTGTGCGGGGTTGGCTCGGTGGGGTGAGGTCCGGAGGTGACGCAGCGGGGGGGGCTCCGCCCGTGCCTCTGCCCGCAGGGTTGTGAGCGGCTCGCGGGACGCCACGCTGCGCCTCTGGGACATCGAGACCGGGCAGTGCCTGCACGTGCTGATGGGGCACGTGGCTGCCGTGCGCTGCGTGCAGTACGACGGGCACAAGGTGGTGAGCGGCGCGTACGACTACACGGTGAAAGTCTGGGACCCCGAGAGCGAGAGCTGCACTCACACGCTGCAGGGGCACACGAACCGCGTCTACTCCTTGCAGGTGAGAGCCGGGCTCCCCGTGCCCCCCCCCGCCCACTCCCACTCATGTCCTGCAGGGACACGCGGGGCCGTGCCTGGTTCTGCGGGTGGGAGGCTGTCTCCCCCACCCCACCCCACGCCCGTGCTGCGGGGACACGTGGGCCTGGTTCTGCGGGTGGGAGGCTGTCTCCCCCACCCCACACCCGTGCTGCAGGGACACGTGGGCCTGGTTCTGTGGGTGGGAGGCTGTCTCCCCCACCCCACACCCGTGCTGCAGGGACACGTGGGCCTGGTTCTGTGGGTGGGAGGCTGTCTCCTCCACCCCACGCCTGTGCTGCGGGGACACGTGGGCCTGGTTCTGCGGGTGGGAGGCTGTCTCCCCCACCCCACGCCCGTGCTGCGGGGACACGTGGGCCTGGTTCTGCGGGTGGGAGGCTGTCTCCCCCACCCCACCCCACGCCCGTGCTGCAGGGACACGTGGGCCTGGTTCTGCGGGTGGGAGGCTGTCTCCCCCACCCCACCCCACGCCCGTGCTGCAGGGACACGTGGGGCAATGCCTGGTTCTGCAGGTGGGAGGCTGTCTCCCCCACCCCACGCCTGTGCTGCGGGGACACGTGGGGCAATGCCTGGTTCTGCGGGTGGGAGGCTGTCTCCCCCACCCCACGCCCGTGCTGCAGGGACACGTGGGCCTGGTTCTGCGGGTGGGAGGCTGTCTCCCCCACCCCACGCCCGTGCTGCAGGGACACGTGGGCCTGGTTCTGTGGGTGGGAGGCTGTCTCCCCCACCCCACGCCCGTGCTGCAGGGACACGTGGGCCTGGTTCTGTGGGTGGGAGGCTCTCTCCCCCACCCCACGCCCGTGCTGCGGGGACACGTGGGCCTGGTTCTGTGGGTGGGAGGCTCTCTCCCCCACCCCACGCCCGTGCTGCAGGGACACGTGGGGCAATGCCTGGTTCTGTGGGTGGGAGGCTGTCTCCCCCACCCCACCCCACGCCCGTGCTGCAGGGACACGTGGGCCTGGTTCTGTGGGTGGGAGGCTGTCTCCCCCACCCCACGCCCGTGCTGCAGGGACACGTGGGCCTGGTTCTGCGGGTGGGAGGCTGTCTCCCCCACCCCACCCCACGCCCGTGCTGCAGGGACACGCGGGGCCGTGCCTGTTCCCTGCAGGTGAGAGGCTCTGCCCCCACCTCCCCACGCACACGCATGCCCTGTGGGAGCGCACGCACCGCGTCTGCTTCCTGCAGGGAAGGGGCTGCCACACACGCGTGTGCCCTGATTCACCAGGGGGCACGTGAGCACGACGCTCGACCTGCCGTGCCCCGGGTCTCTTGCCGCCAGCCTGCCGCGAGCGCGCCTCCCCTCCCTGCGCCGCCCGCGCTGATCTGCGTCTCTCGTGGGCAGTTTGATGGGACACACATCGTGAGCGGCTCTCTGGACACTTCGATCCGAGTGTGGGACGTAGAGAGTGGAAACTGCTTGCACACCCTCATGGGGCACCAGTCGCTCACGAGCGGCATGGAGTTACGTGACAACATCCTCGTGTCCGGCAACGCCGACTCCACCGTCAAGATCTGGGACATCAAGACGGGCCAGTGCCTGCAAACGCTGCAGGGTGAGTGCCGGGGGAGGGAAGGGGCTCCCCCCCCGGCCAGGGCTGTTGGAGCTGGGGGGGTCGTGTCGCTCCCGGCACGGCCGGGGCAGGGCGGCTGCTCCCGAAGAGCCCGGGTGGGAGGTGGGAACACGGCGCTGACAGGTTACCCCTCTGCTCCCAGGCCCCAGCAAGCACCAGAGCGCCGTCACCTGCCTGCAGTTCAGCTCCAAATTCGTGGTGACCAGCTCAGATGACGGTACCGTCAAGCTCTGGGACCTCAAGACGGGCGAGTTCGTGCGCAACCTGGTTGCCCTGGAGAGCGGGGGCAGCGGGGGTGTCGTGTGGCGCATCCGCGCCTCCAACACCAAGCTGGTGTGCGCGGTGGGCAGCCGCAACGGCACGGAGGAGACCAAGCTGCTGGTGCTGGACTTCGATGTGGACCTGAAATGAACCCAGCCGGGGCAGGCTGGGGCGGAGGATCCCGCGGGCTGGGCGTAGCAGCTGGTCTTGGTGGGGCTGGCCCCGGAGCAGGCGCTAGCCCCCCCCGCGGGCTGTAAATACTGTTTTGCAGCTGTCCGGGCCTTATTTATATACGTGTGAACTCCCCGTGGGGAGCCTGCGCCCGGCTGGGGCACTGTACAGAGGAAGCAGCATGTTTTGTACACACTAATATATCGATTTATTTCTGTACCTGGGGCCTGCTTCTCCACCCCTGCTGTTCCCCGAGCCCGCGCTTCCCGGAGCTTGTCTCTCCCGGTGGGGGGAGCAGCTGGTGGCTGCAGCCCCCGTCCCCTTTGATTCCAGGCAGGAGTAGGGGAGGGTACAGCCTTTCCTTAGAGTCACCCACCTCGCAGACCAGCTCTCTCCTGCTGCTCACGCGTGCCCTGTCTGGTGGAGTGCCCTCTGCCTGGAGCCCCACAGCCTGGGGACTCCAGCTTCCCTTTTCTAGACGCGGTAGCGGGCTGGCGACGCGCACGCGGCGCTGGGGACGGGGACGTCTCACGGGTAGCAGAGCTGGCTGGCCAGGCACGGAGGCTCACGGGGCTGTCCTAGGGAGATGCAGCCCCGATACCGTGCCCGAGAGGGAGCGGTGCTGTGAACAAAACTTTTTGGTTTTTTGTTTTTTTTTTTTTTTTTTTCTTTCCCTTCTGCGCTGCTCAGCCCGAGGGAAGCAGGACGGGGCTGGGCAGAGCGAGGCGCAGCAAGCGGCTGGGCGGCACCGGCAGGCGGGCGGCGGGGAGATGAGACGGGGCCTGGCACGGCTGCTGGAAGGGCAGAGGTGGGAAGGCAGCAGGGGCTGCCCTGCCCTCGCACCCAGGAGGGGCAAACCAGCCGGCAGCAGGCGTTGCCAGCCGCTTCCCCCCGGGCAGCTCGGGGCGGTGCAGCCGGGAACCTTCCCTGCTCCTCCAGCGCAGGGTCGGGGCTTGGGCAGGGATTGCCCGTGCGGGAGAAAGCTTCTGCCTGCTCTCCTTGTGTCTGTAGGGAGCAGCACGAGAGGGCCAGTTCTGCTTGCAGCCTCGGGGCTGCTTGCTGGCTGACCAGGGGCTGGGGACAGAGGCGAGGGGAGAGCACGGCGCGCAGCTCTTGGGCTACCAGGCAGCTCTTCCCGCAAGCCCTGGAGGAGGGTGGCTGTGCTGGGGCCGCGGAGCTGGTCGCTGGAGTCCCCTCATCCTCGAGCAGAGCGGGGGGGGAGGCAGGTGGGAGGGGGTCTGCGGAGGGCGGCCGGCTGTCACTGCCGCGAAGGGCCGCTGGTGCCGGGGGGAGAACGCGTTTACCAGCCTTCCCTCTCCCCCAAACAGCCGCGCTGCCCTGGGCGAGGGCTCGTTCTCACCCGTGTTGAGGCAGCCCCTTGGGGAGGGATGAGGCGGCTCCGGGATTCGGAGAGGAGCTGGGCTGGCCCTGCTGAGCCAGGCTTCTGCGCTGCTGCTGCTGCGTCCCCATCCGACCGGCGTAAACCACCGACCTTGAAAGGAGAAGGGACCGTCACCAGCCCAACCGGTGTGCAAGCATCCCGGGCCCCGGCCTCCCGGCCCCTGAAGGCAGGTTCGTGCTCTCTGCTGCTGCTGCGTGATGGTGGGAGAGCAGCCGCGAGACCGCGGGGGGTGGGCAGCAGCAGGCTCGGGGCAAGGGGAGCCGCACCGCCGCGGGCGCTGGGGCGTGCCGTGCCCCACCGTGCCCCTCCTGTGCCCCACTGTGCCCCTCCTGTGCCCCACTGTGTCCCTCCTGTGCCCCTCCTGTGCCCCACTGCACCCCACCGTGCCCCTCCTGTGCCCCACTGCGCCCCACCGTGCCCCCACTGTGCCCCACCGTGCCCCTCCTGTGCCCCACTGTGCCCCACCGTGCCCCTCCTGTGCTCCACTGCAGGTGCTGGCTGTGGGGCTGCGACGAGAGCCCGGGGCGACTCACAGAAGACGGTGACACCGCGTGGGCGCTGCAGGGTGCCGGCTGTTGATCCTCCCTCTTCCCCCGGGCAGGGAGGGTGGGCGGGGGTGGGTTGTGCCCTGGCCCTGGGTGTCTGTACCCCCCGCCCCCCACCCACCTACAGCAACGCAGTGATGTGCACAGCACACCGTGGAGCGGAGCGAAAGCCCTCAGCAGCACGCCACCCCTCAAACCTTGCCGTGCCACCCCGTAGCTTATCACCAGGAAGCCTGATTTTATCCCTCCCCCCACTTCAAACCTAGTTGGAAGCTCTGCCGAATCGTGAGCAAAAATCCTTTTTCCCCTTGAGAAAGGTGAGCCCAGCAGCCCTGGCGTCTCCCCGACCACCCCGTTTCAGCGGTAGCCTGCTGTGGTCTGGAGGCCGGGAAAGAAACCGGAGCAGAAAACCACGCCGAGAGACCTGCTGGTCCGTGCAGCGGGATGAGATCTGGCATCTCTGCAGGTGGCGAGTTCAGAGTTGCCATTAATGAGCCATCGCCAGCTGTGCCGCGCGGGTCCGCTCGTGCCTGCGAGCTCCCGTCGCACTGAGCAGCTGCACAAAAACCTCAAGCGGTTGCGCAAGCCGGGGTGCACGAAGATGTGTCGCCGGCTGCTGCGCGCAGCCCTCGCCCCGCGCAGTGCACGAAGCCATTTGGCAGCGATTGGCCAAACAAATCTGCCCACTTGCCTTTAGGATAAATGATTTCCCCCAAATAACATAAATCACCGGGGCCCCTATTTTAAGCTGTTCTGGTTTTGCCTTTTCAAAGACAGCTGTGAAACGCCAGCGAGGAAGGAATGGAGTTCAAGAAAGAACCTTAGTTCTGGTCCCGCGCGCCCGCTAGCTTCTTGAAAGCCTAGGCAGATGCCATTGTCCTTGGCTGAATTTTCTGCGACGTTGTTTATGGGCAAAACGCATCTTTCCCAGTGGAGGAGTTTGTCAGAGAACTCTGCAATGGCTCTGACTCCTCTTTCTCGTCGAATCACGGAATACCGGCCTGGAGGGGACCTCGAGGATCATCTGGTCCAACCTGTCTTGGCAAAAGCTCAGTCTAGACGAGATGGCCCGGCACCTGGTCCAGCTGAACCTTAAGAGTGTCCAGTGCTGGGGAACCCACCACTTCCCTGAGGAGATTATTCCAGTGGCTGATTGTTCTCACTGTAAAAAATTTTCCTCCTGTGTCTGATTGGAATCTCCCAGTGAGAAAGTCGTCCCCATCACCCCGCATCTTTTCCATGTGATTCCTTGTAAAAAGGGAGTCTCCATCTCCTCTGTAGTCACCCTTTAAACACTGGAACATGGTGATAAGGTCTCCCCTAAGGCTTCTCTTCTCAAGGCTGAGCAAACTCAGTTCTCTCAGCCTTTCCTCACATGGCTGCCCCGTCCCTTGATCATCTTCGTGGCCCTTCTCTGGGCCCTCTCCAGCCCGGCCACAGCTTTTTTGTGTAGCGGGGACCAGAACTGAACACAGTATTCCAGGCGTGGCCTGACAAGTGCAGAGCAGACTGTTCTATCCCTGCTGGTGATGCAGCCCATCACCCCGTTGGCTTTTTTCGCCGCTGCAGTCCACTGCTCACTCGTGTTGAGCTGCTTGTCCCCCAGGACCCCCAGGTAAATCCCTTTCTGCAGAGCTGCTCCCCAGCCAGGGCTGCGCTCCTGGATGATGTTTTCCCAGGTGCAAGACCTTACACTGTCCTTGTTGAAATTCCCAAGGTTCTTCTTAGCCCAATCCTTCAGCCTAGCCAAGGTCTTCCTGCAGGGTGGCTCTCCCTTCCCAGGCGTCCGCTTCCCCGCTCAGTCTGGCATCATCAGCAGACTTCATCGGGCTATGCTTGGTCCCATCATCCAGATCACTTTATGAAGATATTTTGTTATATATGGAAACAAATCTTCAGCACCCCCTGGATGCCGTGCTGGGGACACACTGGGAATCAGATCCAGCCCCGCCGAGATCCATCCCAAAGCTGCCCGGCACGGTGCCAGGCTTGGGCAGTGGCTGTGACACCGGCTGTGCCGCCGGTGGGGACAGCACGGGAGGGGTAGCTGCTCTTCCCCGGGAACCACGGCGGTCTGGGGGGGGGCTCAGGTGGGGGGAGCTGGGGCAGCAGAGGAGAAAAGCACCCGGGAGAAAAAGTCACGCCGAAGGGGCAGACCGAGAGCAGCTCTGCCGGCTGGGGAGGCAAACAAGGCAGCGCTCTGGAAGAGGAATTTCTGGTGCCCAGAGCTGCCCCGTGCAAGCCTGGAACTTCTAAAGATGACGGATACCCCCGGGGTCTTATCCTCTGTCGCCTCCAGATGTTGAGCTCCCAGGCTGCAGCAAGGATTCCCGCATCCACCTCCCAGGGCACGGCTTCAAACTCACCCGCTTACGCACAGACAGGCTCGCCGAGACTGTCTATAATCTGATTAGGAGCAGTACCGTGGATTAAAATAATTACATGCGTGTTGGGAAGACGACGTAGTTGCTATTAAAGACACCGGTGTTTCTTTTACAGCCGGCAGCTCAGCCCCACACTTCTGTCAGAGGTGTCTCGGGACTGCGCTCTCCGAAGAGGAGAACTGGGTGCTCGCCGCAAACATCGGCTCGTCGGGCGTAGGAGAAAAGCTGCCTCCTAACGGGAGCACTCAGCTGGGGAGAGGGACGCTGGAGCCACTTGGCAACCCGGCATAAATCATCACCGGAGTGCCCGGCACGCTTTCATCCATAAAGTTTAACACAAAAGGTGAGGCGGGTGCGTCTTTGGGCAGGACTGCCCGACTGCTGGGCGGCTGCGTCCCACGCCCGCGAGCAGAGGACAGCCGGAGCCGAGCCAGCAGCTGATACTGCAGAAAGGTTCATTTCCCGCCGCCGAGCAAAGCCCTCGCTAAACTTAATCAGGAGGAAATTTTTCAGACAGAAGAAACTTGTAACATATTTTTTTTTTTTTTTTTCGGTTTCTTTGACGGTGAAGCCGTCAGATCTTGGCAAGCAAGGAAGGATATGAAATTTAGAAAGATGTTAAGCATTTGCTAGAACATAAAACTTCTTCGAAATCAACAGACTTGCAGTTTTTGTCGGAGCCGTATTCTGAGACAGACTGAAAGGGCAGCTGCTGCCCCGCTCAGCAGCCGCTCCTGGTCAGGCTGGATCTGCGGGGCCGCGGGCGAACGACACGCCGAGACGGGTTCAGTGTGGGAGATAGAGCATCAATCAACGTGTGTCTTTATTGGTCCAGGGTACATATATTTATCCAGACAATGATAATTATTATGCCTACTAGTCACTAGCTGATTGGCTTAAGCTCTAAAGGTCGTATTCGCACGGTCCACCTACTTGCAGTTAGCTTACAGCACAAGCTTCCCATAACACTAAGTTTCTCATGCTACTATTTCTGATTCCTCTTGACTTGTTTTCGATACACGACAGTACCGTAACACAATGTTTCTCAGACCACCATTACCATAACACTAGATTTCTCAGACCACTATTCCTAATTCCCCTTAACCTGTTTTCGACACACCACGGTACACAGGGCTGAAGCGTCCTTGACATTCCTCCTGTATCAGCAGCTGCAGGCAAATCCTAGTGAGGCCCAGCATCAGCAGCTAGAGCAGGCTCTGATCATACAATTGCTCGGTGGGCTCAGGACCCTTGTCTCTGAGCCATTCTCCAACAATTCCCCCTTTTTCTTTTTGTATGAGCAGAGCCCGCGCCAACGTTCGTTCAAAGATTTTCTTAATACATGGCAAGGCACAACTTAGGCATGCAGGCTTACAACCTACTGGCTAAAGGCACAGGACCCTTGTCTCTGAGCCATTCTCCAACATGGATCCAGTACGGGACTGGCGCAGGCGTCTTTCCCCACCCAGGACGCCCACCCCACGCGCTCGCTCCAGCCCTTCGATGGCCCTTGCTGCCACGCTGGACTTCTTCCCGTTTGAGAAAGGGACTGTAAGGCGGTTCTGGTTTGTCCCCCACTATTGCCTTTGCTCCTTTCCCTAGCACTTGATTGGCTTTTTTGACCACCCCTGAGCACTGAACTTCCACTTGCACCCGAACAGCTATCACCCCCTGGGGGGATCTGACTCCCGAGCGGCAGTGGTAAGCTCCGAACTCATCGTTTCACAGGCAAAACGGGAAATGGATGTCGCTTTCCATTTACTGACGCGGGGTAGATCCCGTTCCTGTGCCACACATCACTGCGGCATCCTGCTGCGGCTCCTCAGAGCCTAATTAGCTGCATCAGCTAACCCAGCGCTGCGAGCAGATTAATTCTCGCCTCACCCTGCCCCGGTGCCAGAGCGTTCCCGCACCGGCTGGCAGCACCGGCCCCCGCGGGGGTCTCGGTGGGACTCCCCTGGCATCCTCCTTCCACAGGGAACGCCGGCTTTTCTCCCTGGCTGCCGTTCTGTACCCGCTCCCGTCCCATCAGAGGACCTGCCCTCGTCCCCGCGGTACCTGTGGCTCCTGGGCAGCCTTTGCTGAGAGACCAAGGATGCTGTTCGGCCAGGCACCCCGTGCATCCGCCGCACGGCTGTTTTGGGGACCTTTCCCAGCTCCCCGCCGGCAGCAAGGCTGGGGTTGGGCTGGGAGCACCACTCACCGCACCGGCACGGCTAGATTTGCTGCCTGGAGGGTGGCCCTTGCCAGGCATCCCCTCCCCGTACCAGGACGGGCCAGCCCGTGCGGGTCCCCCCCCCTCCCCGGGGCACGCGGTGGCCAGCTTTGCCCTTGGTTGCCAAACCTCTGTCGCTGGGCACGGGGAAGGAGCAAGTGTCACCTGGATTTTGGGCAGGGTTTGCGTTCCCGCCTCGTCCGCCGCCAGGGGCTTCTGCTCCAGGCCGGGGTCTGTATCCGACAGCACTTAAAAATTTTTTCCCAAGTGACTCTGTACTGCTCCTTGGCTCCTCGCCACTGAGGATAAAATCTGGGCTGGTGGAGGACTTAACTGGAAGGAGGAAGGAGACCATCTTTACTCTGAGTCCTCTTCCTCAGGGCTTCTGAAAGCTTTAGGGAGAAGCAGAAAGGATAATGATGTCATCTGCTCTCCCAGTCTTTGCCTTTCCCAGAGCCCTGTGCAGTAGGGGAGTTTTTCAAGGAAACGCCACAGTCCAAACTTCGGTGTTTGAAAGAAAACGTGAGCACGGGAGCCTGCCAGGACTCCGTGTTCGGGGACGTCATCCCTGCAGCCCGCAGCAGGCTGGGCTCTCCTCGCCCTCCCTTCGGGACACCGGGCTCCTTGCGCCGTCCCATCCCTCCCCGTTTCTCCAGTCACGTCCCCCCTGCCCGGGCGAGGGGCCGCTGGTCTCGGTGGTGGAGCCGACTCGAGGGCGATCACAGGTCTGCCTGCGGAGCAGGGGCTGCTCGGCGCCCGCCGTGGCTCTCGCTGCTGCCAGGCACGGCCCGGGGGGACCAACCAGAGCTGTGCTGTGCAGGGACCAAAACCGGGTTCCAGGAGCTCGACCGAGGCAAGGCGGTGCCGTTGCGAGCAGCCGTTGCGCGCCGTGGGGCTCCGGGGCTCTGCGGCAGCCCGCACGCCGTCCCGCCGTCTCTGCAGCAGCTCTTGGCTCCAGGCTGGGCACGGCGAGGGGGAACGTCGCCCGGCACTCTGCTGCCTCTGCTCCGGGAACTGTTAAGAGATGGGAGGTGGTCAAGAGGCAGCTGCCCCTTCCCGTGCCCACGGCAGCGCCCCGCAGGGAGAGCCCCCCGCGCCACACGGGAGACCTCGCAGCCAGCCAGGGAGGAAGACCAGAGAGAGGGAAGGGAGGGGGAACAGGACACACAGATGGGAAAAAGGCATCTTCCCAGGGAGCCTCCCAGGGGGTCTGCTGAGGCGGGGGGTGGTGGGACCACCGTGAGCCCATGGCTGGCCCCCCTGGTCCCAAGGCCATGTCTCCCTGTCCTCCCTCATCCTCCCTGTCCCCCCCAACCTTCCCCATCCCTCCCCATCCATCTCTCCCCATCCCTCCCCAGCTCCGTGCTCCAGCTGCTGCCGAGCACCCCGAGATCCTTGCCTGCAGGCATGGGGCTGGGGGCTGCCGGACACGGGGCGCAGGGAGATGGGCAGCAGCGGGCGAGGAGGGGGCACGGGGAGAGGGGGCAATGCTGAGGGGCTGCGGACCAGGAGGCAAGCAGAGCTGCTGTCCCATGCAAAGCATCACCCTGGCTAACAGGGACGGTGAGATCAAGGGGAAAATATGAAGGCGTGCCCAGGGATTTCCATCCGATCTGGCAGGAGAGGCCGAGCCTGTGGAGCAGCTCCAGCACGGCCGGGCTGGGGGGAGAGCTGCGGGCAGAGGTGAGGGCAGGGGGACGAGCTGGGGCAATGCCCGGAGGAAGGGGCTGAGCCACGGGGCGTGAGCCCGGCTGCAGGAGAGGGGAGAAAGTGCCAAATGTTAGTCTGGGCTGTAAGCCAGCGGCAGGACGTACAGCGAGAAAGGCCCTGGAAAACTATCAGAGGGGCTGCTGTCCCGTGACAAGGCTTCAACAGGCTTCAAGCATCAGCATCTGCAACAGCTTAATCCCGTAAACGTGGCAGACAAGGAGAGCCACGGTCACTACACGCCAAAGAGAGCTGCACTACAGCAGTCCCTTCCTCCCCTTCCCTTTCCTTTTCCCCTTCCCCTGGTAAACGCAAGGCCGGGTGATGCAGGGTGCCACGAGCTGCGCCTGATGACCGGACTTCACGGCGTTTGAAAGGGATGAGGAACAGAACGAGAGGAATGGCTCGAGTTCCCTCTTTAATTGCCAGATCCATCCATTCTCACACAAAGTCGGCCCAGCAGCTCCTCCCGACGCCGGCCGACTCGGAGCAGCGCCGCGGCACCGGGAGGGTTTGGGTCGGGGTGGTAAGAGATAAGTTAAACCGATACTGGGTGGCTGAGAATGCAGAAAACGCACCAAAGTTTACTTAATCGTGGCCAGAACTAGAGCCTGACATCAGTCGTATGCTGTTTATGCCCTTTTATTTCTCTGCCGTATAAACGTTTCCAGCCTCTGCGTGCCGCTTCCACGTCAGCCCGGCTCCTGCCATGCCCCAGCAGCGGGGGCTGCACCGGGGGCCCCCCAGCAGCACCACACCCCGGCAGCCACAACGGCCCCGATCCTGCGCCGGGGCAGCCGGGAAGGAGCTGACCCCAGTCCCCCATCGCCCGTGACCAGAGACCCCGTCGGCCGCCCCCGGTCCTGGGGTGGTTTGGTGAGAGCAGCACCCCAGAACCACCCATCTGCGCACCCACCAGTGAATCACTCTTCAGTGTGCGTTTGCTTTGCCACCAGGAATTTGTAAGGAAAACGTTCAAGGAACACACACACCCCCCTCCGCTGTGTCCCAGTGCACGTGGGGGGTCATGCAGACCCACCGTGGAGACCCTGGCCCAGCGCAGGGGGGGTGGCACTGGCCACAGCTGCCGGTGGCTTTAGCCCAAACACGACCCGGCTCCCTGCGATAGCACCGGGGGCCTCATCCTGCTGCCCTGGGGTGCAGGGTGGCCATCCCTCACCGCCACCAGCCCGGGGCACGGTGGGGAGCCCGGGGGGTGGGTCAGGGCCAGGGAGCGGTGCGGGGGGGGGGGGGGGGACATCGGGGGCTGAGGGTCCACGGGTGGGAGCCCAGCGCAGCCCGCGGTGGTGGGGCGGGAGCCGGCGTTGGGGATGGTGAGAAGCCCCCAAGCTGCACGGTCCTCCCCGCTTCTGGGGGACCCCGTGGCTCTGCAGGAGGGACCCGCTCCAAGGCTCAGCTGCCGCGGTGCCCACCGGGGTCTGTGCAGCTGGAACCCCCCCCCCCCCATCCCGCTCTGCTTGGAGCACCGCCGGAGCCTTCGGTAATTAAACCCCTCGAGGACCGTCCTGCAGGCAGCAGGCTGCAAATCCGGGGAGCTGCACGGAGACCCGCTTGCCCAGAGGCTCCAGCGATGCCAGCCCGGGGGTGACCTGCCCTGCGAGTGGCATCAGCCTCAGCTAGCAGGAGGGGGTACAGCCCCACGGTGCCCGGACCCCGCTGGCTGTCAGCAGGAGCCGGTCCTGGCCGAAGCCACCCCCGGACCCTTCCCCGTGTCCCGGGCAGGACTCGCTGCAGGAGACACACGCCCCGTCCTTGCAGACGTGTCCCTGCACGGCCGGTGGCAGGCTGACCCGAGCGCTTGGGGGCTGGAGACAAGGAGGTAGCGGTGGCGGCCGAGGGAACCGAGCTTGTTCAGCCTGAAGAGGAGAAGGCGAAGGGAGAGCCCACCGGTGCCTGCAGCTCTCCCGTGGCAGCGGGCGGAGAACACAGCCAGACTTCCCGGAGGTGCCGGTGACAGGAGAAACCATGGGCATGAACCAGAACATGGAAAATTGCTGGTAGACCCCCCCCAAGAAAAGCGTTTTCACCGTAAGGGTGGTCGCACTTTGTATCAGGATCAGAGTAAAGGGAATCTCCATCCTCTGAGATATTTAATGGCTGTCTGGACACTGCCTTGGGCAACCTGCTCTACCTAGACCTGCTCTGAGCTGGGGTGGGCACAGACCTCTAGAGATCCCTCCCTGCACCCACAGCCCCGCTCCCTGTGACGAGCAAATCCACCCCCGTCCCGCATAAGCGGCTCACACAGTCCCTTCCCCTTCCTGCTGAAAATACCTATCGCTCTTCTGTTTGACGTTTCTGCCCTCGGTCCCCGGCTGCTGCGTTTCATCAGACCTCGGGTCATTTCTGCGCCGCCGCCGGTGCCGCGCACCGGAGCACGCAGCCCGGGAGCACCCGGGAGGGGGGGTCCGATGCCATTCGACCCAAAACTTGGCTCCCCGGCCGCTTCCAGGGTCTCTCCCGCAGCCCCCGCCAGCAGAGCCGTTTGTCAGGACGCAACCAGCCAGATCACGACCTTGACTTGCACTCCTCGTAGCTCCGGGTGCGCTCTCGCGCGGATAGCTCTGCCGGGGCACAAGTAATCTCTTGTCGAGTGGTGAAACGAGCCCAGAAGCCGGATTGTGCAGCAGGAGCTGGGCAGAGGAAGGAGGCGGCGGACGTCCACCGACCTCCGCAGGCAGACGACAAACACACTGCACGAGCTGGACGTAGTCACTCCCAGCAGCAGCCCTGTCTCTGCCAGGAGCTAAAACCCGCACACAATGCTTTCCTTTCATAATTACATTTTCAGACCTGCCAGTTTTTACCCGCAGGTGAAACATCCTTATTTCAGAGACCCACAGGACGGCCGAGGGCGGTGGGGACCTCTGGAGATCATCCAGTCCAACCCCTCCCCAGAGCTGGCCGTGCAGGACCACGGCCAGTTGGGTGCTGACCACCTACAAGGGTGGAGACCCCACAGCCGCCCTGGGGAACCCCCCACCAGTGCTTGGCTGCCCCGCCCAGTGAAAAAGTTTTTCTTACGTTTAAGCGGAATTTCCTGGATGTCAGTTTGTGGCAACGGATTCTCACCCTTGGGGTGCTGGTTCCCCTCATAGACAAGGTAATGAAGTGCGGGTTAAGTTCGTGGCCGGTGAGGTGGGTTGGAAACTGCCTGAGTGGCTGGGCCCAGAGGGTTGTGATCAGTGGCACGGAGTCTGTCTGGCGACCGGACACCACTAACGGAGTCACCAGGGCTCAGCACCAGGGCCAGGATTGTTTAACACTGGGTGACGTTATTCGTTAATGACCCCTGCGCGCCTGCAGATGACACAAAGTGGGGAGGAGTGGCTGGCACTCAGGGGGTGGTGCTGCCATCCGGAGGGACCTCGGGGAGGCTGGAGAAATGGGCAAAGAGGAACCTCATGAAGCTCAACAGGGAGAAATGCAAGATGAGGCAATGGACAAAAGAAGTCGACAGGGACAAAACTCCATCTGAACACCAGGAAACTCGTTTCAAACCCTGGCACAGTCTCTGTGCCGGTGCAATTCTCACCCCCTGGGCTGCCAAGTGTGATTCCACCCGCCTCCCCCGGGGGCTGTGTGTCAACCTGGAGATATCAGGACTGCTAACGGCAGTGAAGCAGAACGTCAAGGTGCCCCTTGAAGGAGCCTGGCTCCTCCCTGCCACTCGGAAATGGGTATAACAGTCCATCACCTCCCAACAGCCTGGCACACCTGTACCGGGGATGGGATCAAATGAGAACAATAACAGAGTTGCACCTTCATCGAATTCTTGTGCAACTGCCGGAAGGTCCCAGAATGTTTCATCGTTTGAGCTGGGCCTGGGCAAAAATACATGATAAACGTCACTTGTCTTGGACCCTATAAATTGCGACTCCAAGGGAGACCCTTGGAGCTCTCCTGGCTCGCAGCGGGACTGTGACCAGCAGCAAACCTGAGCTGGGACGCCTCTCGGGTATCAAAAACCTTGAGGTGTCGTCTGCTGTCAGAGCCGACGAAAGGCCAGGGCCAGGGCAACCCACTCGAGTCTCAATTATCGTCGAGGAATGCCAAGGCATTGTGAGTGTTCGCCCTAAACTCGAGGAGGGAACTTTTACTTTGAGCTGGCTTCTCTTCCTCTTTCTCTGCCTCCTGGTGTGTGTAGGTACGTACTTCATTCTGCTGGGTCCAAATACTTTTGTCTCATGTGTGTTTGCATGTTTTGTGTTTGTGTATGCGCATGTATATATGTACCATAAGACACCATATAGTAAGTTAGAGTGAATCTTGTCATCTTGGAATCTGTAGATAAGTCGCTATTTTTAATGATAACATTTTCCTGAATTACTTTGTACGTATTCAAACCAGTTAATGAACAAGTGCTGTTAGTTATTAATAAATTTTGATTTGTTATTCAATGATCACTGTGCTAATACCTTCACCCACGACAGTCTCCATCCTTGGGGACATTTGAAATCCATCTGGACACGGTGCTGGGCAGCCATCCCTGGGTGGCCCTGCTGGAGCAGGGCCTGGGGACGGTGATCTCCAGAGGTCCTGCCAACCTCGGCGGCTTTGTGATTCCATTCTGTCCCTGGGAACCCCTGCGAAGAGCCTGGCCACATCTTCCCTCCGCTCTCTCATCGGGTGTTCGTACACGTTGATGAGATCCCCCTGCGCCGCCTCCTCCCCGGGCTGTGAGTGCTGCATCCAAACCAGAAGATTTTTAATGATTCTACGATTTAGCTGCTGCTCTGCCAGGATGTGCTCCCTCCAGTGGGCAGGGGGATGCTGCTGTAAGTCCTCCCAGTCCATCAAGGATTTTCCTAGAATCACAGAATTGTTTAGATTGGAAAATATCATCGAGTCCAACCATTAACCTATCACTGCCAAGCCCACCACTAAACCATGTCCCTGAGTACCACGTCCGCATGTCTTTTAAATACCTCCAGGGATGGTGACTCAGCCTCTTCCCTGGGGAGCCTGTTCCAGTGCTGAATGACCCTTTCGGTGAAGAAATTTTTCCTAATTTCCAATCTCAACCTCCCCTGGTGCAACTTGAGGCCATTTCCACTCATCCTGTCCCTTGCTACTTGGGAGAAGAGACCAACACCCACTTCGCCATAACCTCCTTTCAGGCAGTTATAGAGAGCAGTGTGGTCTCCCCTCAGCCTCCTTTTCTCCAGTCTAAACAAACCCAGTTCTCTCAGCCACTCCTCACGAGACATGTGCTTTAAACCCTTTAGAAGCTTGGTTGCCCTTCTCTGGACACGCTCCAGCACCTCCAGGTCTTTCTGGAGTGAGGGGCCCAAAACTGAGCCCAGTGTTGGAGGTGCAGCCTCCCCAGTGCTGAGGACAGGGGGACGATCCCTTCCCTGGTCCTGCTGGCCACACTCTTGCTGACACAAGCCAGGATGCTGTTGGCCTCCTTGGCCACCTGGGCACACTGCTGGCTCATATTCAGCCGACTGTTGACCAGCACCCCCAGCTCCTTTTCCCCTGGGCAGCTTTCCAGCCGCCCTGCCCCGAGCCCGTAGCGCTGCGTGGGGTTGTAGTGCCCCAAGTGCAGGACCCGGCCCCGAGCCTTGAACCTCACACAATCGGCCTCGGCCCATCGATCCAGCCCGTCCAGGTCCCTCTGCAGAGCCTCCCTGCCCTCGAACAGATCAACTCTCCCGCCCAACTTCGTGTCACCTGCAGGCTTGCCGAGGGTGCCCTCGATCCCCTCATCCGGACTGTTGATGCAGATATTAAGCAGAACCGGCCCCGGTTCCGAGCCCCGGGGGACACCACTCGTGACCGGCTGCCGACTGGATTTAACGCCGTTCCCCGCCGCCCTTTGGGCACGGCCATCCAGCCAGTTTTTACCCAGCAAAGAGTGCACCCGTCCAAGCCACGAGCAGCCGGTGACTCCAGGGGAATGCTGTGGGAAACGATGTCAAAGGCTTTACACAAGTCCAGGTAAGCAACATCCCGAGCCTTTCCCTCACCCACCAAGTGGGTCGCCTTGTCCCGGAAGATCAGGTCAGTCAGGCAGGACCTGCCTTTCACAAACCCGTGCTGACCGGCCCGGATCGCCTGGTTGTCCCGTACGTGCCGTGTGATGGCACTCGAGAGGATCTGCTCCGTCACCTTCCCCGGCACCGAGGTCAGGCGGCCAGGCCCGTGGTTCCCCGGATCCTCCTTCCAGCCCTTCTCGTAGCTGGGCGTCACATTTGCCGACCTCCCGTCACCCGGGACCTCCCCGCTGAGCCAGGGCTGCCGGTAAATGATGGGAGGGGGCTTGGTGAGCACTTGCCCCAGCTCCCCCAGCACCCCTGGGTGGATCCCCCAGACCTGTGCGTGTCTCGGTGCTGTAGCAGGTCTCTAACCATTTCCCCTTGGATTACGGGGGGCTTCATTCTGCTCCCTGCCCTGACTTCCAGCCCAGGGGGGTGGGTACCCCGAGAACAACTGATTTTACTGCTGAAGACTGAGGTAAGGACGGCGCTGAGTACCTCAGCCCTTTCGTCACCCTGCACCGAGCAGCCCCAGCGTGAGCAGGCTGAGGAGACGGGCTCCACGGGACTGCCGCCTCCTCCGCGCTTGGGCATCCCCCTTCCACCTCAGGAGCTGCTCTCACCCACGAGGATCTTCCCGCTGCTGCTTTTTAGGAGTGGGATGCCCGGCCACTGGAGAAAAGTCCTGGGCTTCTAGAAGCCGACCCTCACACCCACGCAGGTCTGCGGGATGGCCAACACTTCCCTTTGCCATTCAGCCGTCGTCCCCGCTGCCAGGGAATAAATGAACTGATGGGAGACAGAGGCAGAGCAGAGGGAACTCATGAAGAGGCCCAGACCCTTCCGAAGACGGGCTCTGCGGGGTCAGGCGAAGAGCTTGCTTACCCCAGTTTTCTGAAAACTGCAAGAAAGAGGTGCTTTGGGAAGAGTGTTGGAGGAAAGAGGCTTTCGCCAGTCCCTGTCCAGTCCTTGCAGCCCGAGGCCGAGCAACTCCGCGGGTCAGACTGCATTTACACCTATCCCTAGAAAATCACCATTAAAATATAAAAGTAGGAAGGAAGATCTGGGAAGCCTGGAGCCACCACGCAAGCTCTAGAAACGGCTGGACGTCACCAGGCTGAACGCGCCAGCACGCCGGTGAAATCACAATTAATTGATCAGCCCCCCCCCCCCGGGGGATGGAGGGTGAGCGGAAGCGGGGTGGCAGCGAAGGCGGGCGGGGGTCCCCGCGGGCAGCACCCCGAGGAGCTGGGCTCACGGGGGCACAGGGACCTGGGCGGGGGGCTGGGGAAAGGGCTGCCTGGAGCCACTTTGCTGCGGGGGCGGGGGGTGCAGAGCACCGCTGCTCACCGCCGGTGCCACCCAGGCGGGGGGGCTGGGGAAGGGGCTGGGGCACCGGCGGCCCGCAACACCGCGGCAGGACCGAGACCGTCCCCGCAGAGCCGGCGAGAAGGGGGGGCTGGGGCTCTGCTCCCCCTGCCCCCTGCACAGGGACGGGGGGCGGCAGGGACCCTGGCAGGGGCAGAACAGCCGAGAGCTCCGGAACCGTGTGCCCGGGACGAGGCTCGGGCGAGCCCCGGAGGGCTGCACCGCTGCCGGGGTGCCGAGGCTGGCGCAGAGAAGGGGCGAGGGGCTGCGAACCCCTTCTCTGGGGTGCAGCAAACCCCTTCTCTGGGGTGCAGCAACCCCCTTCTCTCTCTGGGGTGCAGCAAACCCCTTCTCTGGGGTGCAGCAAACCCCTTCTCTCTCTGGGGTGCAGCAAACCCCTTCTCTCTCTGGGGTGCAGCAACCCCTTCTCTGGGGTGCAGCAAACCCCTTCTCTCTCTGGGGTGCAGCAAACCCCTTCTCTGGGGTGCAGCAACCCCCTTCTCTCTCTGGGGTGCAGCAACCCCCTTCTCTCTCTGGGGTGCAGCAACCCCTTCTCTCTCTGGGGTGCAGCAACCCCCTTCTCTGGGGTGCAGCAAACCCCTTCTCTCTCTGGGGTGCAGCAAACCCCTTCTCTCTCTGGGGTGCAGCAACCCCTTCTCTGGGGTGCAGCAAACCCCTTCTCTCTCTGGGGTGCAGCAAACCCCTTCTCTCTCTGGGGTGCAGCAACCCCCTTCTCTGGGGTGCAGCAAACCCCTTCTCTCTCTGGGGTGCAGCAAACCCCTTCTCTCTCTGGGGTGCAGCGTGACCCCCCTGCTGCTGGTGGAACCCGGCATCGGCCGTGCCGCCAGCCAGAGCACACGGAAAGCTCCCGGCAAAGCTGTGCCGGGGGGCTGCTCTCTGCAGGCCGGGACAGGAGGTGCAGGAAGCTGGCAGCACCCGCAGCCTCCAGGACCTTTGCCATCCAATATTTCCAGGGGAGGGGGTCCCTTGAGCCCTTTGCTGATAGCCCAGCGCGGGCGGCTGCCAGCCCGAGCCGGGGTTGGGGTCAGGGGCACCCCCCTGGCAGGGCGTTGGTGCAGACACTGAAAACGTTAGCTAGGCCTTAAACCTCATTGATTTTGGATTTATAATTAACAATTAGGAATTGGTTTAGATATGATTAATAGAGTGCAGGTGTTCTATAACACAGTATGCATGAGGTGCTCATTTGTCCCACGTACAGCCCTCGCCATGGCTGACTTAACTCAGTCCCGCTGGATGGACAGGAAAGGACTCGTGCATCTTGGTTTTAAGATATAAGAGTTATTGATTTTTAGACCAGGCAATATTGAAAAATTAACTATTACAGGCTAGACGTAGATTAAGTGGGAATTATTAGAGCAACTTGAATAATTCTCAGAAGTTCAAGGATGATCCTTGATCTATAATGAAAAATTTTCTGCCTACGACTGCTAGCTACAGAAGAGGAACGGAGGTGAGATGATAAGAGTCAATGGAAACAGGAAGATGTATTGGACTTTTGGAACCACTGAGGAGTGGAAAACCAAGGATTCGTGAGAAAACACCCAGAACACCGAGAATTTCTTTTGGCAAATATTAATTGCATAATGTCACAGAGTTGCATATATAGAGGATGTTTTTGACCCACCCGCTGCCACTCACTGAGGCGACAACCCAACGCCGAGTTGTTAATAAAAAGCAAACCTAGAGAAACCCACCATCGGGCGGAATTCTGTAACGGACACCCGGCACTGCCCGCCGGAGGCAGAGCTGCCTGCCCGTCGCGACGCCGACAGCCGAGGACAAGGACAAGAGGGGTCCCGGGATGAGCGAGGCCGACCCTCAGCCCTGGGAGGGCGTCCCCTGCCCCCGCGGGGAGCGGGGCTCTGCTCGCCCTCGCGAGGCGTCAGCACCGAGACGCTAACGAGGAGACGTTTTATTAGCACGGGGACGCTGTTCTCTAGAAGTACAAGCACCCTGGGTGCGGAGCACGCAGCCCGGCGCTGCGAGGACAGGGCTGAGGGGGGAACCCCCCTGCTTCTCTCTGGGTGCCCCCCCTCCCCGGCACGTGGTGGGCTTGACGGCTGCCAGGGTGCTCCGGGCACCCTGAGGACGCAGGGGTGCGAGGCTGGGTTTCGGGGGACCTGCCGCTCCGAGCGGGGAGACCGGTATCACCCCGGCGCCGCTGCTCTCGCCAGCTCCATCCCGGCAGCCGTGCTACGTGCCCACAGCCCCGCGTGTGGGGCCGCCGGGGCCCGGTGCCGTCGGTGCCGGGGGGGCCGGGGGTTCCGGGGGGCCGTCTCGGGGCGATGGGGCTGTGCTGGCCTCGTCGTGGCTGGCGCGGCGCTGGATGATGGCGGGCATCAGCGCCACGTAGGCGCTCATCAGGCGGTGGTTGGAGCGCAGCAGCTTCCCGGCGCAGCCGTCCAGGCAGGTCTCCTGTGGGATGAGGGAGAGGGGAAGGTTGGGGGGGGGGGTCAGGGCGGCCGAGGGGCCCCTTGGACCCTGCAGCTCCCCCCGGGGCCTCACCTCGCGGCCGGTGAGCAGCCGGTAGTTGAGGTTGGAGATGCAGTGGCGGAAGCAGAGCTCGGTCATGCGGTTGTAAACCAGGAGGAAGTCCCGCAGCTGGGGGGGGGGGGGGGGGGGGAACCGGCACACGGTCAGCCCTCGGCGATAACCCCGGTCCCGGCACCCCCCGGAAACATGGGGACCCTCCGGCAACCCCTCGGCCCCGGCACCCGCGACTCGACCCCCGGGACCCCCCGCCCCGGGAGCCCCTCGTCCCGGCACCCCGCGGCAGCCCCGGGACCCCCCGGCCCCGGCCCGACCCCCCGGCCCCGGGATCCCTCGGGACCCTCCGGCACCCCCGGCCCGGTCCGGCCCGACCCCCCGGCCCCGGGACCCCTCGGGACCCTCCGGCACCCCCGGCCCGGTCCCGGCCCGACCCCCCGGCCCCGGGACCCCTCGGGACCCTCCTGCACCCCCGGCCCGGTCCCGGCCCGACCCCCCGGGACCCTCCGGCACCCCCGGCCCGACCCCCCGTCCCCGGGATCCCTCGGGACCCCCCGGCACCCCCGTCCCGGTCCCGGCCCGACCCCCCCGGCCCCGGACCCCTCGGGACCCTCCGGCACCCCCGCCCGGTCCCGGCCCGACCCCCCGGCCCCGGGATCCCTCGGGACCCTCCGGCACCCCCGGCCCGGTCCCGGCCCGACCCCCCGGGACCCTCCGGCACCCCCGGCCCGACCCCCCGTCCCCGGGACCCCTCGGGACCCTCCGGCACCCCGGCCCGGTCCCGGCCCGACCCCCCGGGACCCTCCGGCACCCCGGCCCGACCCCCCGTCCCCGGGACCCCTCGGGACCCTCCGGCACCCCCGGCCCGACCCCCCGTCCCCGGGACCCCTCGGGACCCTCCGGCACCCCCGGCCCGTCCCCGCCGCCCTCACGCTGCGGAGCTGCTGCTGCTGCTGCTCGGCCCCCGCCTCCATCCCGCTTCCCCGCCTCCCCGGGCCCGGCCGAAGCGCCGCTTCCGCCCGGCTTCCGCCCCACTTCCGGCCCCGCTTCCGCCCGGCCCGCGCCCGCCGCCGACGCCACGTCCGGTCGGTGTCCCGGCGGCCCCCGCTCGCGGCCTGACGTGGCTTCCGGTGGGGCCCGGGCCGTGGCGGATCGCGGCTCCCGAGCGGGGGGGGGCCCGGCCGCGGCCGGGCGCAGGTGGGCGGGGGGAACGGGGGAACCGGGGCGGGGGGGGGGAACGGGGGGAGCCGAGGGGGACCGGGGCGGGAGGGCCGGGTGGAGAACCGGGGGAGAATGGGCCGGGGGGGCCGGTGCCCGCCGCGACCGTGCCGAGGGGAGCAGGACTGGGCCCCCCCCCCCCCCCCCGAAAGGAGCCGCCGGCGCCGTTTGTGCCGTGGGTGCCTCCCCCACCCCCGCACCGGGGCCGGTGGCTGCTGTGGGGTCACCCCCCTGGAGCGGGGAGGGGCCCGGCCGCCCCCCCGGTAACGGAGCCGCTTCCCCGGCGTGTGCCCGGAGCGGGCTGGGCACGGCCCCCCCGCCCCGGGCGAGGGGCTGCAGGTGGTCCCGGTGGGGGGACAGGCCCCCCCCCCCCCCGCCCACCTCCCCAGACCCGCGGCGGTGGGGCTGGCAGGGCCGGGGTGGCCCGTCCCGCGGGACCCCGTGTCCCGGCTGCGGGGGGTCCCGGCTGCGGGGGGTCCCGGCTGCAGACCCCCCCCCCCCCCCCGACTCCAGCCGAGCATCTGTGCCCTGTCAGGCCCTGAGGATGTCGGACGGGATCATGAGCAAGGCGGCCACCATGGAGATCCCCATCAGCAGCAACGGGGACGCGGGCAGTCTGCCCGAGGACGACGGCTTGGAGCAGGTCTGTTCCCGGGGCCAGGTGGGCGCGGGCTGGGGAGGGGGGGGGGTGGGGGTCTGGGCTCTCCGCAGCCCCCCACCTCAGCCGCCTGTGCTCCCCCCCCCCCCGCCCCAGGACCTGCAGCAGGTGATGGTGTCGGGACCCAACCTCAACGAAACCAGCATCGTCTCTGGTGGCTACGGGGGCACGGCCGAGGGCATCATCCCCACCGGCGCCATCAAAGGTAGCGCGGGGGGGGGTGCTGGGGTCCCTGCTGAGGGCAGCGCCGCTCCCTGGGGGAGGGGGGGGGGGCACGGCTGGCCTCGGTGCTGGGCTGTGGGACTCGCGGGGAAGGAGGCGTGCTGTTCGAGCCGGGGCACGGCCCAGTCCCTGTGCCGGGGCACAGCCTGCGGTGGTGCTGGGCCTCACTGAGGGTGCTGTGTGCAGGCAGAAGCTCCATCGCTTGGGACGGCGGCTCCCTCCCCCTCTTCCCCGCCGACGGGCTGGCCAAGCCGGGCTGCCACCCCACTATCCCCGTTCCTCCGGTGCTCCGGCACAGGGGAGCTGCCGGGGAGGGCTGGGCCGTGGGCGCTCCCCCGTGGGGCCGGTTGCGTGGGGCACCCCACGCCTGTGGCCGCCTGGGCTTCACACCGTGCTGAGGCGCGGCAGCTCCGGTGCCGGGGCAGGACGTGGGTGTCCCGTCCTTTCTGCGGTGCTGGGGAGCTCTGGGGCTGTGCCGTGAGGGCCGGGGCCGGCTCCGAGCCCCGCGCTCTCCGCTGATTTCCTCGTCTCGTCGCTCGAGCCGATCCTGGGGCCGTGGCAGAGCCCGGCTGCGAGCGTCCTGCCTGCCGGGCTGCGCCGTGGGCAGGCGAGCCCCAGCGCTGGGGCAATGCCGCTCCGTGCCCCCCAGGAGCTCTGCCTGGGCACAGCGAGAGTCACTGGGGCTGGACTGGGCCAAGCTGGGGCAGCTAGCACAGCCGCCTCTTGTGCTCAGTCCCTCGTGGTCCCATTTCAGTGTCTGCCCCCCCCCCCCCGACTCTCGCCCCACGTGTCTCCCCGGCAGCAGCCTGACCCCAACCACTCCGCCCTGCACTAGGCTGGAGCCGAGCGGGTTTGCCTGAGCGTTTACTGCCGGCCTGCCGTGCCCACGGGCGGGTGGCAGGAGGAGGAGGAGGCGGCCCGTGCCGCGGTTTGCCGTCCCTGTGTCTCGCACCGGGCAGCTCACGGTGACCCCAGCTGACGGCGGGGCAGGAGGTGTCTGTCTGGCAGCCAGCCGTGCCTTCTGGTTCCGCGTCGCACTCATCCGCTCCCGTTGCTCTCCCCTGCTGCCATCCTGCCCGCACACTTATCCTCTGTCCTGGCCGTTCCTGCCCCCCGTGCCCGCTGCACCGCCCCGTCTCCTCTTGCCCCTCTCTGCTCAACGCCTGCCAGCCCCCCGTTTCCAGGCTGTCTTGTCCAACCTCACCCCCCCGAGGACCATCCGTCTCCCCCAGTGCATCTGCCGCCAGCAGGATGGCCAACCAGGCCGGTGCTTCAGCAGGTACAGCGGCCGCCCAGCCCCTGGCCGGTGTTCCACAGCCCCCCCAGCCCTCCTTAGGGCGCCCGGTTAGTTCTGGGGTCCCTCGAGCACCTCCACAGGGACGTGGGGCCCCGCGTGGCGGGCAGGCGGGCGAGCTGCCTGCCGCAGGAGGAAGAGCTTCCCGGCACTTGCCGGCAGCTGCAGCGGGGTCTGGTGTGCTGGGGGGGAGAGGACGGCTCTGCCAGGGTCCCGGGACGTGGAACCTGTGCGGGTGCCTCCCCCCGGGTGCTGCCGGTTGCCTTCTCCCTCCCTCCCCGGGCCCGCTCGGTGAGCCGGGGGTCAGGCAGGACGCTGCTGGGGGTGGCCGGGCTGGGGTCAGCGCCTGGGACCCCTTGGGCAGAGCTCACAGGAGCAGCTTCGCTGCCACCGGGGCACGTTAACGCTGCCGGCGGGGAGAGCTGCTCCGGCCCGGGGCCCGAGCGGGGCGAGAGCCCGGCGCTTTGGCAGCTCCCCGGGCAGGGCCGGTGCTGCCCGTGCCGCGGGTCTGTTTGCGTGGGGTCTGCTGGGCCCCGGTGCAGCCCTGCGGGAGGCCTGAGCCCCCGGAGCGGGGTGAACGGCCCGTGCTGCTGCCCTGCTGAACCGGCGCCGGGCTGTGTCCGTTCCAGGCTCCGGGCTGCACCAGCCCCACCCCAGCCCGGCGGCCGCAGGAGAGGAAGTTGTCCGTGGCATCGCCGTGGAGAAGTTTGACATCGTTAAGAAATGGGGTATCAACACGTACAAGGTGAGCCGGGCCGTGGGGACGGGCCAGCCCCTGCGCTAGGGAGGTGGGGGGACGTGTCCGGGGACCTCCCCGCGGATTTGGCGGGGACCCGAGGCGCTCCTGCTACCTTCCCCCCCTCGCCCCGCAGTGCACCAAGCAGCTGATCTCGGAGCGGTTCGGCCGGGGCTCCCGCACCGTGGACCTGGAGCTGGAAACGCAGATCGAGCTGCTCCGGGAGACAAAGCGCAAGTACGAGTGCGTGCTGCAGCTCGCGCGGGCTCTCACCAACCACTTCTACAGCCTGGTGCAGACGCAGCACGCCCTGGGCGATGCCTTCGCAGACCTCAGCCAGAAGTCTCCCGAGCTGCAGGGGCTCGCTGGGGAGGGGGGGGGGTTGCATGCCGTGCCCCTGCCTGTGCCGCAGTCTCCCCGCCACCTGAGCCAACCCCGGGCTCTGCTGCACAGCCGGGGCGGCTCTGCCCCCCCCCAGCAGCCCAGGGTGGAGAGAAGCTGGGGGAGGTTGGGGATAACGGTGCTCGGCGAAGGCTGCGAGGCAGGGGGAGAGCGTGAAGGGCTGTGTCCCACGTCCTGTGTCCCAGCACCTTCCTGGGGCCCTGTCCCGTGTCCCAGCACCTCCCTGGGGCTCTGTCCTGTGTCCCAGCACCTTCCTGGGGCCCTGTCCCGTGTCCCAGCGCCTTCCTGGGGCCCTGTACCCTGTCCTGTGTCCCAGCACCTTCCTGGGGCCATGTCCCCTGTCCTGTGTCCCAGCACCTTCCTGGGGCCATGTCCCCTGTCCTGTGTCCCAGCACCTTCCTGGGGCCATGTCCCCTGTCCCGTGTCCCAGCACCTTCCTGGGGCCATGTCCCATGTCCTGTGTCCCAACTCCTTCCTGGGGCCATGTCCCATGTCCTGTGTCCCAGCACCTTCCTGGGGCCCTGTCCCATGTCCTGTGTCCCAGCACCTTCCTGGGGCCATGTCCCCGTCCTGTGTCCCAGCATTTTTCTGGGGCCCTGTCCCATGTCCCAGCAACTTCCTGGGGCCGTGTCCTGTGTCCCAGCACCTTCCTGGGGCCCTGTCCTGTGTCCCAGCACCTTCCTGGGGCCATGTCCCGTGTCCCAGCGCCTTCCTGGGGCCATGTCCCCTGTCCTGTGTCCCAGCACCTTCCTGGGGCCATGTCCCCTGTCCTGTGTCCCAGCACCTTCCTGGGGCCATGTCCCGTGTCCTGTGTCCCAACTCCTTCCTGGGGCCATGTCCCTTGTCCCGTGTCCCAGCACCTTCCTGGGGCCCTGTCCCATGTCCTGTGTCCCAGCACCTTCCTGGGGCCCTGTCCCATGTCCTGTGTCCCAGCACCTTCCTGGGGCCATGTCCCGTCCTGTGTCCCAGCATTTTTCTGGGGCCCTGTCCCATGTCCCAGCAACTTCCTGGGGCCCTGTCCCGTGTCCTGTGTCCCAACTCCTTCCTGGGGCCATGTCCTTGTCCCGTGTCCCAGCACCTTCCTGGGGCCCTGTCCCATGTCCCAGCAACTTCCTGGGGCTGTGTCCCGTGTCCCAGCACCTTCCTGGGGCCATGTCCCCTGTCCTGTGTCCCAGCACCTTCCTGGGGCCATGTCCCATGTCCCAGCACTTTTCTGGGGCCCTGTCCCATGTCCCATGTCCAGCAACTTCCTGGGGCTGTGTCCCGTGTCCCAGCACCTTCCTGGGGCCATGTCCCCGTCCTGTGTCCCAGCACCTTCCTGGGGCTGTGTCCCGTGTCCCAGCACCTTCCTGGGGCCCTGTCCTGTGTCCCAGCACCTCCCTGGGGCCCTGTCCCGTGTCCCAACACCTTCCTGGGGCTATGTCCCGTGTCCCGCACCTTTCTGGAGCCCTGTCCCATGTCCCAACACCTACCTGGGGCCGTGTCCCTGTCCCAGCACATTCCTGGGGCTGTGTCCCCTGTCCTGTGTCCCAACACCTTCCTGGGGCCCTGTCCCATGTCCCAGCACCTTCCTGGGGCCATGTCCCCTGTCCCGTGTCCCAGCACCTTCCTGGGGCCCTGTCCGTGTCCCAGCACCTTCCTGGGGCCCTGTCCTGTGTCCCAGCACCTTTCTGGGGCCGCTGGGCTGATTCTGGGCATGCGGGAGGGGAGGGGAGGGGTCCTTGCTGGAACAGACGCTGACTCCCCTCCTCTCCCAGGAGGAGTTTGGCTACAACGCGGAAACGCAGAAACTGCTCTGCAAGAACGGCGAGACGCTACTGGGGGCTGTCAACTTCTTCGTCTCCAGCATCAACACGCTGGTGAACAAGACCATGGAGGACACGCTCATGACGGTGAAGCAGTACGAGACGGCCAGGTAGAACGGCGGGCCGGGGGGTTCCCCGGGGGGGGGGCCCCCGCGGAGCTCTGACACCGGCCGTCCCTGCGCAGGCTGGAGTACGACGCGTACCGCACGGACCTGGAGGAGCTGAGCATGGGCCCGCGGGACGCCAGCACCCTGTGCCGGCTGGATGCGGCCCAGAGCCAATTCCAGAGCCACAAGGACAAGTACGAAAAGCTGCGTGCTGACGTGGCCATCAAGCTCAAGTTCTTGGAGGAGAATAAGGTGGGAGGGGGCCGCGGGGCGCAGGGTGGGGGGCGGCCGTGCACTCGTCGTGTCCCTTGGCCGTGCTGCCTTGCAGCCGCCTGCCAGAATCTGTCGGGGTGGGCACCCGGGGGGGGGCACAGGCAGCGGGGGGACTATCTCTGCCCCCCCTCTCACTGTCGTGGCTTCTGCCAGGCCGCCTTCTCCCGGCTGTCGGGGCCAGCTCTTGGGAGGTGCCGGCGGTGGTCCCGACCTCCCCTCCTGTGCTAGGTGGGGGCCGTGTCCCGGCTCCCCGCCCCTTCTCTGGGGGGGTTGGGGGGGGGGGGGGTGCCAGCTCACTGCAGGCTGAACCCCCCCCCCCCCGGCTCTTCCCAGATCAAGGTGATGCACAAGCAGCTGCTGCTCTTCCACAACGCCATCTCTGCCTACTTCGCCGGGAACCAGCAGCAGTTGGAGCAGACCCTCAAGCAGTTCAACATCAAGCTGAAGACCCCGGGTGCTGAGAAGCCCTCCTGGCTGGAGGAGCAGTGAGCCCCCCGCCCCCGCGTGCTCTGCCCCGGGGGGGCACCATGGACCTGAGTTCTGCGAGCGCTCGCGGGGTTATTGGGGGGGGGGGGGGGACACGACACATGGCGTGGGCCCCGCTGCAGCTTGGTGGGGGGGGGTGTGGGGGGCAGCCCGGTGTGGGGGGCAGCGGGAGGCTGCAGCCCTGAGAGGCCGGGGCTCCCCTCTCCTGCCTCCCCTCCGGGGCAGAGTCTGGCCCTGCCCCGCTCAGTCACGGTCCCTTAGCACAGACCCCCGGCATGACAGCCGGGAGCGCCCCCCCACCCCGACACCCCCCCCGGCAGCCCGGTGGGGCAGCAGATGCCTCCCTGGCTGGGGCTACGCACCCCGGGCCCCACTGCGCGCTGTGGGTGGGACGGGATGCCCCCCACAGCTCTCGCTCTGCCTCCCTGGGGGGCAGGATGGGAGCGTGCCCCCCCCCCCAAGCCCCAGGGTACCCCCGCCCTGCGGCAGCGGCTTTCCTTCCAGATGAAGACAAAGCTCCGGTGGGGATGGCCCCGGGGGTGTCCCCCCACATCCCCGGGGTGGGGGGGGGGCTGTGGGTCCCCACCCGCTGCAGCTGGGGCTCCTGCCCCCCTCTCCCAGTTTTGGGGTCGCTCCGTCTCCCTCCCGGGGTTCCCTGGGCAGCTCTTGCACTCCCCCCACAGCGGGCCCAGGGGCTGCCCCCCCCCAACCCCCCCCCAGCCTCACACTACACTCCCATGCGCAGGGTGGGCACCTCCGGGGCTGCGGTGTGCCTGTCCCCCAGCCCCCTCCAGCCCCCCACCCCCGGACCCCCTGCCAGCCCCATCGAGGGGGGGGGTGGGCCCCTGCGCGCTGCTGCTAACGGGGTACAGGCCCCTCTCCGCCCCGACGCCTGGGTGATGGCTGCCGGGAGCTGCGGGGGGACTCGAAGCGAGGACCAAAGGCCGGGTGGGTGCGGGTGCGTGTTTGGGTGCACGGGCCGAGGGGGGGGGCATGTCCCACGGTCTGTCCGTGTCCCACGGTCTGTCCGTGTCCCACGCGCCGCAGCTCCATCCCACTCCAGCTGAGTGTTGCTTCAGCCCTGGCCACGTGCAGCACTTGGGCACTTTCTCCTGAGACAAAGCAGTTTTGGTTTTTCTTGCTAATTTAATCCCTGGTAATTTAATGACTGGATCTGACACCCCACCCTTTCCCGGTGAAGGTCTGACCCCCTTCCCCCCCCCCCCCCTCGACTTCTGTAAGATTCCAGAATAAAACGGTACGGATCACCTGTGTGCACGGGGCTGGGGGGGGATGTGCTGGCTGCAGGGGGGCGAGGCCGGCCCTTCCCCAGGGCTGGGGTCCCCCCTCTGGTGTGGGGGGGGCGGAGGATTGATCCACTGCCTGATCCCGCTTGTGTGCGGCCTGACCCCCCCCCCCCCATCGGCGGCCGTGTGGGAACGCGTCTTGGGGGGGGCAGGGGGCTCGGAGCTCCCTGGCCCCACGGCGCGGTGGGGCTGCGGGGGGGTCCGCGGGCGGTACCGAGCCCCAAACCATCCCCAAAACAGCCAGGGCCACCCCAGGAGCCCGTCACCGGGATGTCGGGGCTTGGATGGGAATGGGGCCAGTGCCCGGGAGAAAATCCCCGCGGGAGTGCGGCGGGGCCCTGGCTCACCCCAAATTTCTTCCAGGGCGACAGGTTTCTGCCCCGCGGCCGTTCCCACCTTCCCGGTGCCGGGCTGCCGGGCCCGGGGGCGGGGGGGGGGGGGCTGCCGGAGCCCTCAGGCAGCACGGGGAGCTCGGAGGGTCCCGGGGGCACCGAGCCTGCGGCGGGGCCGGGTGCTGCTGCCCCGGGGGGCACCGGGGGCGGGGGGGAGGCTGGCTCCCCCGGCTGCCTCGCCGCTCCCCTCTGCCGCCGGGACGGGGCGGTCCGAGCCGCGGGGCCGCCGGTGACCCCCCCCCCCTCGCCCGCTCCCGCCGCGTCCCGGCCATGGGGTCCGCGCCCCCCACCGCCCCGGGGCCGCCCCCCCCAGCGCCCCCCCCCCCCCCCCGCGCCGCCCCTCGACCTGCCGCGCCTCCGGCTGCTCTTCCAGGAGCCCCGCGGGGCCGCCCCGGGGCAGCGCTCGCCGCCTGCCGTGAGTCCCCCCCCCCCCGTGTCCCCCGGATCTCCCTGCGGTCCCCCCCCCGGGTCCCCTCGAGTCCCTCCCGGGTTCCTCCCGAGTCCCCCCGAGTCCCTCCCTGGACACCACCCGTTCCCCGCCGGGTCCCACCGGGTCCCCGCCGCGATTCCCCCGAGTACTCCCGGATCCCCCTGCGGTCCCCCCCCCGGGTCCCCGGCCCCCCTGACCACCCTGTGCCCCCCCCCCCCCCGGCCACGTTGCTGGACCCCAAGCAGAGTCTCGCCCTCGGCGTCTTCCTCAATCAGGTCAAGCGGTGAGTGGAGCTGCCCCCCAGAACACCCCCCGACACCCTCCGGGACACTGCCCCACCCCCCCTAGGGAGACACACCCCCCCCCCGCAGCAACCTGCACCCCCTCGGGCACTGACCCCCCCGGGTTCCACAAACGCAGGGGTGGGGGGAGACACCCATGTGTCATCCCCCCAGGTCCAGTTCGTGGGGGGCAAAACCTGTCCCCAGGGGTCCCGGCGTGGGCGACATTGCGGGTTCCTGCTCCCCCCCCCCCCCCTCACCGGGGTCCCACACACGGGTGGGGAACGGGGTCTCCTGCTGCCCTGTGCACCCAGGCACACAGGTGTGGGGCGTCCCTGACCCCCGGGAGGGGTGGGGGGGGTCTGTTGGCTGCCAGAGGCGGGTGTTACCCTGTCGGGAGGCAGAACACTGTCTGCGCAGCCGGGCCGGGGTGGGGTGGGGGTCACCGGCGTCTGCCACATCCCCCCCCAGGCCCTCTGCCAGATCGTGCAGGACATCCAGGAGGGCGTCGGGGCACCCTACGGGGCGGAGAAGCTGCTGGAGCTCTCCCGGCGCCGCAGAGGTGAGGGGCTCCTGGGGGGGCTCTGCAGTTCTGGGCTTCCTCCGGTGACTGGCAGGGGGGAAGGGCGCGCCCCCCCCCCCCCCCCCCCCAGCTGACGGGCGCCGGTTTTCCCCTTCCCCGTCCCCTTGCTCTCGTCGTGACACTAAACGCTGAAGGCTCTCCCCGGGCTCCCCCATCCCGCGAGGCCGCGGGGGCTCCGGCCGCCTCCGTCACCCGTCCCGGCACAGCGCGGTGCCATCACTGCACCCTTTGTCGCTGCCGGCGGTGCCAGGCGCTGCGGGGGCGGGTGACGCGGGACCCCGGCCCCCCCCGGGGTGCTCGTGCCCTCCCAGCGCCGCGCCCACCCCGGACCTCCTGTCCCGTCCCACAGCCGGTCCCAGGGGACAGCAAGGGGGGGGGCCCGATCCAGCCTGAAGCGTGACCCGGGAGGGGGAGCGGGGCCAGCTGGGGACCCCGGGGGTCTCTGCCCGCCCCGTGCCCAAAGCAGGGGCAGCGGTGGGGTCAGACCAGGCTGCTCACAGCCTCATCCAGTAGCGTCTTGAAAACCTCCGGATGGAGGCCGCATAAGCTCTTTCAGCATCCTGCTCCAACACTGGACGGGCCCAGAGGGAAGAAGGTTTCCCTTCTATCCAGCCTGAAGTTCTCGCTTCAAACCGATGCCTGCAGCCTCCTGTTCTCCTCTTGTGCACCACTGCGAAGAGCCTGGCTCCGTTGCCTTGATAAGCTCACCATCGGTGTTGGCGGCTTGCTGTTGGGGCTGCAGCCTTCTCCCCCGACAGCCGAGGAAGCCCCAGTCCCTCAGCACCGCCCAGGGCAGGTGCTCCAGCCCCTGGCCTCACCGCAGCTTGTCAGGGGCTTTCCTGTACTGGGGGCCCAAAACTCGATGCGGTGTCCAGCTGTGGTTTAGCAAGGGCTGAGCTGAGGGACCCTGACCTCCTGGCTGTGCCCCCGTTCACACGGGCCGGGGTGCTGCCGGGCTCCCCTTGCTGCCAGGGTGCACCGTGGCTCACGTCCTGCTCGCTGCCCGCCCAGACCCCCGGGACGTTTTTCCCGGAGCTGCTCCCCCAGCCTGGCAGTCCCGGTTTGTGCTGTTGCAGGGGTGCTCTGCTCCCCAGAGGAGAACTTGGCATCTGTCCTTGCTGAGTTTCATGCGGCCCGTTCCTCTCACCGCCTGAGGCCCTCAGGGTGCAGTCCTGCCCTCGAGCGTGTCAGCTGCTTCCCGATCCCCAGGTCGGTGCCAGCTGTACCCTCCACGAGGGTGCCCTCTGTGCCTCCACCGGCTCATTGCGGAAGATGTGAAGCAGGAGAGGTCCCCAGGCTGCTCTCTGTGGCGCTCCACTTGCCACCACCTCCAGGCAGAGCACAGCTCACGAGCCACCACCCCCCCTCTGAGCTCGACCCTCCAACCTGTTTCGGACCTGCTCATCCGGCATTTCGGATGTGAAGGAGAAGGTGACAAAACACACACACACCCCCCCCACCCCCCGCATGCACCCGCAGCGCCCCGGGAGGGGGGGTGGGGGGGGGTGTGGCTGCACCCCAGGGTACCGATGGCATGAGGCGGCGATGCCACCCAGCCGGTCCCTCTGCACTTTTGGGGACATCCCCCCCCCCTCCCCTTCCACCCCCTCCAGGGATGCCCCCACGCCACGTCCACGCGAGGAACACACACACACTTTGGGGGTCTGCCCCCCCCCCCCCCCCGTTTTTAGGGATGCGCACACACACCGGGGCGGGATGCGGTTGCCGTGGTGACAGCCGGGTACCCCGGGGATGCAGGGGGGCGCGCCCGGAGCCCCCCCCACTGCAGAGCCACAGCCCGGACCCAACCATTCGTGCTGGGGGGGTGCTGCGTTTCCTCCCCACTCTCCCACGGGACACCCCCCCCCCGTGGACCCCTCCCATTCGGGAACGGCGACGGAGTCGCCGTTCCCGAATGGGAGGGGTCCACGGGGGGGGGGTGTCCCGTGCAATATGGTGGAGGGTGAAAAGAGTGTGTCCCCCCCCCCTCGCCGTGGTGCGGTCCGGTCTGGCAGCTGCCTGCCCTGCCCATCCCTGGCGCAGTCCCTGCCGCGCCGAGCCGAGCCGGGCCGGGCCGAGGATGCGCGCTGCCGGCCCGCGGCGGGGGCTGGAGCGAGGAGGGGGCTGCGTGGGGGTGAGTGGGGACACGCGGGGACGGGGGGGGGGGGGGGGGGCAGGCCCGCTGTGCGGAGTGGATGAGGTGGGGGGGGGGGGGGGGGATGGATGAGCCCGGTGGGTACTATTGGGGGGGGGGGGGGGGGGGGGGTGGGGCGGGATGTGTCGCGAGTGGGGTGTTGCCTGGATGGGGTGGGGGACACACACACAAGGACGGGGGACACGGAACACACACACAGAGGAAGGATGGGGGGCAGCGATAAAGGGGGGGTGGGATAGGAGGATGGTGGGGGACAGCGCTGGGGACGTGGGGGGGGGGGGTCCGTGGACAAGGACACGAGGTGGGGGGCAGGGAGAGGCGGGAGGGGTGAGGGAGAAGGAGGAAGGGGGGGGACACAGGGCCGGGGGGGACGGGACAGACACACAGACACAGAGGGACAAGGAGGGGCGGGATGTGGGGCCGGGCCGTGCCCGCAGCATCACGGTGCGGCCCCGCAGCCGCTGCGGCTCCGCGGGCCCTGACCCCCCGCCCTGCCCGGTGCTCGGTGACCCCCCCCCCCCTCGCCCTGCCCGGTGCCCGCTGCTCGGTGCTGCTCGGTGCTCGGTGGTTCCCGGTGCCCGTTGGCCGGTGCCCGGTTCTTGGTGCCCGGTGTTCAGTGGTGCCCGGTGGTGCCCAGTGGTTCCCGGTGCCCGGTAATCAGTGGTGCCGGTGGTTCCCGGTGCTGCCGGTGGTTCCCGGTGCTGCCGGTGGTGCTCAGTGGTTCCCGGTGCCCGGTGCTCAGTGGTGCCCGGTGCTTCCGGTGCTGCCCGTGCCCTGGTGCCCAGTGGTTCCCGGTGCCGGCGATCAGTGGTGCCCGGTGCTGCCCGATGCCCGGTGCTGCCCGGTGGTTCCCGGTGCTGCCCGGTGGTGCTCAGTGGTTCCGGTGCCCGGTGCTCAGTGGTGCCCGGTGCTGCCCGGTGCTAGGTGGTCCCTAGTGCCCGGTGGTGCCCGGTGGTGCCCGGTGGTGCCCGGTGCTCGGTGGCTCCCGGTGCTAGGTGGTCCCTAGTGCCCGGCGGTGCCCGGTGCTGCCCGGTGCCCGGTGCCCGGTGCCGGCGCGGGGGCGGTGCCGTCGGGGCGGGCGGTGCCGCACAATGGCGGCCGGGGCGGGGCCGGGCCGG